GGCACAAGAAATTTGTGCAATTTTGTCCCATTTAAAATTTCACTATTATTTTAGTTGGATGACTTTTGCATCAGCTAGGTAATATCCTGGGGGTGTTCGCTGTCAGAGTCTGCAAAGGACTTCATTTTTTGATTTGTTTTACCTTGACAGTTGTCAAGGTGAACTGTCAAGGGAAACCAAAGTCATGAGTGACTTTTGTTTGTAAATGGAGTGACCCTTTCATCCCTTTCATGGCAAGATCCTCTAACTCTCAACTCAGTAATTATGAAACACCACAGAGGAGAAGAACAGCATTAAGCCCAATGAGTCTGATCATCTGTCAGGAATATCGTGGGTTGTTTCATGATCAACCCACAACCTGCGTAGCTTATTTGCAGGTTGCCATTACATGCAAACACACCCATAAGATTGTATCCCATGTTAGTATAATCTAAGTCCAATATATTTCAAGGGTTGGCTCTAACATTCTGTAAAACCAGTAATTTCAAAATAGCAGGACATTTCTTTGTTAAAAAAGGCTATAGTTCTTTACAGATTTACCTGGAAGCTCCATTGAATTAATGGGATTTGCATCTGAACAGATGTGTTGTAGGATTACACAAAGTCACCTAGGTAAAAGAAACTGCTTGTGTGAACATTTGTCATGAGAATGTGTTGCACCTTTAGCTTCAGATGAAAACATGCACATTTTTTTAAAAGTACAGGTAACAAATAAAAAACTTTTTAGTTGATTAAACCTCATGCCTCTTTCTGGATATGTTACCAAAACCTCAATGTAGGCATTTTTGCAAGGATGAGATAGCATTAATAAATGAAATCAATCATCTGTTAAAGTTTTGTGTTTATCACAGTAATACTTCAGAAGTAATATAACTTTAAAAAATAAATAGTGATGCCATAATTGACAGTCCCACTGCTTAAAACTTGTAACTATGATTAATCAGGAATAATTTTAGTTCATTCATTTATTCATTAAAGCTGTGTTCGAATGTGTTCTTAAGCAAATATATGTACATCAGGCAGCAAGTGCTGATGGTCTTATACTTTAGTCTGACTGTTTTTCTGAACAGAAAATTCTAAGGAATTCTTATACAGTGATCTTTTTTTTTTTTTAAAGAAAGGAGGAAATGCAGTAAAGTTTCAACCACACATATCTTGCATTCCTTGCTGTGAATGCCTTCTTAGATGTAATCACATTTGTGTCCTGTTGCTTTCACAACAAATGCATATTGTCTATTGCCCTGGGGGGACATATAATTAGAATACTTTTCAAGTATATATAATCTAGGCCCCTGCCTACTATAAATTCCCCGTCATGGGCTATGGAGGAGACAAAATTATCTTAGCTCATAAAACCACCCAACTATGTTGTGATGTTTTCTCTTTTTTGGATCAAAACCGTGGCTTTCTGGCTGTTCAGGAATGTTTCAGAAAACATTCCTGATGTGATCCTTTGTAGGAGGAAAGAAACTTTTACAGCCTTCTCAGTGCTACATCTGGTGATCTGATAATCTAAGAACAGAATCTGTTTGCTGGAAAGGATTACAGTCAGTAGGGCAACTCATTTCAGAATAAGTCTAGGGCCCTGGTAATGATTTCAAGTTCTCAGTCAAGTCAAAACAAGAGCCAGGACAGGACATAGATTTCCTGTCCCACAGGAAATTCCAACTGCTCAGTGACATAAATTATTTTGAGTAAAGATTAGAAAAAGCTAAGCCTTTTTGTTGGTGCTATGATGAAAAAAGTGGGATATCTGTAGTTTCAGTAGCAGTCTAGAAATTGTCAGTTCAGATGCTTCTAAGAGTCACCATAAAGGGTCATTCTTTTACTCTAATGACTGTTTATATAAGACCAAACCAGGCTTCCCCAGACTGAGAACCCTCCAAACTTTAACCATCAGTCCTACTCAGCATGACCAGTGGGCAGGAATGCTGGGAATTGTAATCCGAAAGCTCTGGAGGTCCCCAGGTTGGAGAATATTGCATCCAAACAAGGGCACATTACATTATCTGAAGACTTCTATGGCTGCACTCTTTGAACTGAAAATATACCAATGCCTTAGCCAGAGGGCAAACCATTGGGAAAATGTGTTAAATATGTTGTATCATACTGAAATGAAAGTGTTTCGGCTGAAGTATGCCGAATCTGATAGAACATTGGTAGAACATGGCAGAATCTTGTATTTGCTGGCTGATAAGATCTCAGTACAGATTGCCTTAGGACTCAATCCTATGCATGTTTAGACAGAAAGAAGTACTGTGACTCCCAGCTTTCCCCCACCAGTTTGGACTCACAGGACTTTTTTCTGTCTAAACATGTACAGGACTATGCCCTTACAGAACAGTTTTATTGATTGGCAATCGGTATGGGTGTGAAAGCTGGAAGAAAGCAGACAGGAAGAAAATTGATGCTTTTGAAATACGGTGCTGGGGGACTGCTCTGTGAATGCCCTGGACTGATGGAAAGACAAACAAAAAGGTCCTAGGTCAAATCAATCCAGAGCTTTCCCTAGAAGCAAAAATGACAAAACTGAAGCTATTATACTTTGGGTATGTCATGAGAAGGCAAGACTCACTGGAGGGGACAATCATGCTAGGGAAAGTTGAAGGAAGAAGAAGTAAAGGACAACCAAAGCACTAGATGGATGGAGTCCATAAAGCCTTGAATTTACAAGAGTTAAGCAGGGCTGTCAAGGACAGGACGTTTTGGAGGCCACTCATTCAGAGGGCTGTCATAACTTGGAGATAACTTGATGGAACATAATGACAACGATCTATGGATGACAGGGAAGGAGACACAGAGTACTTTGGGTACAGCTTTTATCACCTCATTTCTGCCTTGTTCACATTTTTTTCAGGGAGGCCAAATGATGACATCTTCTTCGTGAATCCTCCCATTGTTTCCAAATGTGTCTTCCCTCTTTCTCTCACTGCAGAAAACCCATTAAGGAAAACAAGACAAAATGGCTGTACAAGCACACAGTAGTTTTGTGAGAGAGAACCTGCTTTGCATGGGAGCCTCTGCCAGTCAGAGGAAAAACCCTTCCATATTGTTCTTAAAAACAAATTAATTTAGGAAATTAAATTGGGAATTAAGTTTCCCATTTTTAAATTAATGTCTTAGGGTGTAATCCTCCACAATCTTATGTGAAAAGAATTCAGTTATACTGGCTGGGGAATCCTTGGATGAGTTGTAGGTTTTTTCTGCCTAAACTTGCATAGGAATTGCCCTTAATTAAAACACAGGTCAAAATAGGGTGGAATACAGTGTGGCCTGAGCCAAACAAAAACTCTCCGTAAACAATGTACACATCCCATTTTTCTCCCAAATGGTCCAATTCCTGTTGATCTTTATTAGTGTTACTCAAGCCTCCTATAATATTAATTTAAAGTATATACTGTTTTGAAAGCACATAGAAATGCTGTTGATGGTTTAGTCCATTTCTAATGGATTAAGATGCATTAGGAAAAAAGTTGCTACTGTAACCTGCAGTTATTTGAGAGAGTTCTATAGGGAAATTTCCTGATCACTGAACTTGGAAGTAGAGCTCATGTTTTCAGCTGTGGGTAAATTTGAAATAGTGATACCTTATGAGAAGCAGAATAAATATATGCAAAACAGATTCAAATGTGGGATCGGGGAATATGGTTGCTCTCATCCGATTTCATTAATTAATGCTAAAGGAGATATTTATTCTAAATTGCATAGATTGAATTTACTCTTTACTTTTATAAAGGAAAAACAAGAAACATTTTTAAATAGCTACCTGCTGCCACCTAGTGGGTATGAAGAAATGAGCCCTGAAATTTGTAGTGAATGCTATTGAGGCAGACCACCATATGATGGTCTTCTAAGCACTAATACAGTAGCAGACAAGCACTAGCCCTGTAATCACAGGTTTTTTATTTAGCCCCATCTACCACAGTATACAGTATGTATTGATGGAATCCCAGTTAACAATATCACACTGGTAAAAAATTGTGCAGAGAAGTAACGCACTATATAAAAGTCAGTTCCTGGGATTCAGTATCAACTTGATCTACTGGGTTCTTTTTCAGTCCAGATCTGGGACCTCTTTCCCATCAGTACCAAACAGGTATAGAAAAATAGTTTTTCATTCTATTGCAGCAGCAAAACAAAGGACCATATTAGTTGATATAAGTGTATCCTAGACAAACACATGCAGTTTCTGAGAATAAACAACCCATACGCTTGTTTTAGGATCTTATCTCCAGTCACCTGTGCTGTATCTTTCCAATATAAACAGAACATGTAGAATTCTTTCTAACTTCTAAATGAACTAAAAGTTGCAAAAGACTTGTGTACTTGATCAGCCGTCTAAATAAAATCCTCTCTAAAGTCATTTCAGCTGTTAATGAAGGACATTCAAAGGAAGACTTGGACAATGTGATAAGCTATACTCAGAGGTTGAGTATGGCTTGAGTTGGAACCTATGGAGGGAAAACAGCTAGAAATCAGGAGAAGAATTTTGAATTCCTCCACCGAAAGCCTGAATATAATTTTCCTTAATTTTGGAATGCTCGGTAAGAGAAAAAGCATGAGTTGAGAGAGAGTTAAGAGTTTCTAGCAAGATGGTCTTATCCTTTTCATTCTAAAAATATAGATGAACACAGGTTATTTGAAGATAGTTCTCTGATTTCTGGAATGTTGGACTAAATGCACCCTTTAGGGTAATCTAAACAATGCTTATGTTGCCTGCTTTGCAAATTTATCACTGCATGTACAATAAATAGGAACATAAGATTGCAATTCTATGCATAGTTTCTCAGGGGTAAACCTCACTGAATTCAGTGGAACTTTCTTCTGAGTAAATGTGCATTGGATGATGTCATGTAAGGTATTTTTTCATGCGCAAACAGTAATGCACAGAACACCACTTCAATATTGTGAGAATAACACAATTTATAAAATGTTTACTATTACAAAATAGTTATAGAAAGTTATATGTGAATTGCCAATTATTCTGTTATATTTTTAGACTAATTTTGGCAACTTTCATATCGATTTGACTGCTGAGTAATCTCATTTTTAATGGCTATGACTTGCTCCTCCAGTTGTTTCAGCAGATTAGCCTTACTTTGTTTAATCTGGTTCAGATCTTGTATCTTCTTTTCCAAGTCTGAAATAAAAAATAACATGATGTGCAAGACTATACAAATAAAATCCTAATTATTCTGTAATTAGGGTAATCAGCAGGGAATCCTTTTCATACCAGCTTGTCAGCCAAGGACTCTCTGCACCGGGTTCACAGAATCATAGAAATGTAGAATGAGAACGGACCTTGAAGTCATCCAGTTCAGCCTCCTGCTCAGTACAACAATCTGTAACTATAGTGTTCCAGGAGATGGCTTGTACAGCCTGTGTTTAAATATCTCAAGCAAACAAGTCCACTTTCTTCCTACCTTTAAACACTCCTTTAGCATTCAAAGTTTCTCCTCCTGTTCAGATGAAATCTGCTTCCTTGCAATTGGAGCCTAACACTTTTAAATCTCCTGTGTTGCAGAGGTAGATAAGGCAGCTCTGGCACCTCCTGTCTGTTCACTTCCTCATTCCATCATCTACCCTCATTCTCCCATCAGTTGCATCAGATGTGGTTAGCTGGAATACAGGTATGCTACCCAATCTATTCTTCTTTGCATTTCTGTCACAGAACCCCTGTTTCTTACTGAATTTATTGAATGACTCTGTCTGGACTAAAAATGTATTCCAAAAGAGGGACAGAAAGAAGATAGGTGATACTGGTAAGTTCAGCGATTAACAGTTAAAATATCGTTTAAATAAAAAGGTCTTGGCCTGGTGCCGAAAAACAAATAACGATGGCGCCAGGCGGACCTCTCTGGGGAGCGCATAGATGTCAGTTCTGAACTTGCATACGCATGTCATCTCAACAAATGGCTCATTGGGTGTAGCAAATAATTAGTCCTCCTTCTGTCCTCCTATTTGTGATCTGTTTTGACAGGCACTGACAGTCTCTCCAAAGTGCTCAAGTGATACATTGGAGGTTCACGCTCCCTTTTAAAAATGCATCCCAAATGTGCGCAAACAGTTTAGTCAATTAATTTATCTAGAATTGTGCAATTTCAGAGGGTCAGGTGTAATTTCCATGGGTGTGCAAATGGGAAGTCTTGTCTGCATAATAGCATGGAGGGTACTTGGTGTCAAAGTGCTGCTGGACTAACCATAGATTCAGAGATAAGTCCAAAAGGTATTGTTTGCACTTTGCTTTGTCTTGGCAGCTGTGAAAAGGTGAGCTGTCAATTCAAAGCAAAGATATGAGTGAGCTTTGCTCATGAAAAGGTGGTAGAGTGATTTATCCCACGTTGCTACTTCAGGTTTTTTGTCTGATAGGTGTCAGTGCCCCCAACTTTTCCACCCATTCCTGAAACACTGGGTAGTTGAGAAGATGGTACAGCCCACCATGTTTTACTAGGGCACAGAAGTTTGACAGCTAGTCATGCAAGCTTTGGTTTGTTTAAAAGGAATTTTCTGGAATATTCATGTCTGCATATGTATCTGTTAAAAAACTGACTAGCCTTGTCAAAAACAAAACACCTAAATCTTCAGTGATCTCTTGCAAAGGAAACCAAATCTGAGTAAGTGGTGGGACATCAGGAACTTAACAGGACCAACTGTTTTCAAACATATGATGCTTACATTCTGTGGTTTGGTCTATAAAACAGGCAAGATCAACATTGTGCCAATGCAGCGTTACAATATATTTATTATTTATTTATTAAAACATTTTTATGCCGCCCCATTCGCCGAAGCCTCGGGGCGGCTTACAACATAGATAAAACAAGTTAAAATCCATATAAAATAATCTTAATTAAAACTCACATTATAAAATAAGCCGCCCTGGCCAGATAAAATTCAATTGTATTTAGCATTTAAAATGTTGCTTAAATAAAAAGGTCTTAGCCTGGCGCCGAAAAACAAATAACGACGGCGCCAGGCGGACCTCTCTGGGGAGCGCATTCCATAACTTAGGCGCCACCGCTGAGAAAGCCCTTCTCCGAGTAACCACCCTCCTAATTTCTCTCACGGAGGGCTCCCGGAGAAGGGCCTCTCCCGCCGATCTCAGGGGGCGACTGGGCAAATATGGATGTAAATGGGCAAATATATACCACTATTCATATCATGCAAGGCATCCATATGTCATTGTGAGTGTGTAAATGCAAGATATATACCTGCTATTCTTTTTGTTTTCTCTTCAGTCTCTTTAGCTAATTCCTCTGCCTCTTTTTTTAGCTGGTTCAGTTTCTCTAAGGTTTTCAGTGGAAGGCCCTTGGCTTTCAGTTCTTGCAAGTTAGCATATTCTCTTTTAAGATTAGCAAATTCCTGCAATAACAAATAGTACCTTTAAAAATATTTCCCAACAGCTTCCAGGACACGTAAAAAAGAGGGATAGAGGGAGGGAGGCAGAAGATGCATACAGAGTTAAGAGAGTTTCATAGTTTATCCAATTTTCCAGCACCTGCCTAATAAAAGTTATATACTGAATAACATCATCTGCATACCATGTCAAATCTGAAAAAGAAAAAGTGTGGATTAATGACTCTCTTACACTGCTAACATTCTATTTTGGGTGAGGATTTGTTTTGTTTTAAGTGTATCTGTACTATAAGATAGAAAGCCCATCGTGGAGTCTGTCCCATTCATGAGAATTGCTAAAGCTTCCAGTGTGATGGTGCAAGCATTGTTATTTAATTACTGGAAAGATTAATACAAAGAAAGAACATTTAGGTTGTACAAAGCTTTTAACTATCTCTTTCTTGCCCACCCTCTGCTATAGTTATAGTAAGTTGTGATTGGCTCTACTCTAGCCAATTATCCATTTATTTTACTGGAGACTGGACAAGCTAAACTGTTGTGAATTAGGCAGACTAAATGTATATTTGCTTATTTCACAAACAGACTCAATGATTTTATTTGCAATAAACCAAAACAATTTACAAGATGGGATAGTAAAAGTCTTAGGGTTATTTCACATGGCTGTTTCTCCCCCCACCCCCCTTTTCTGTCACAAATTAAAATGTTGTCTCTCAAAAACAGTTCCCTACCCCATGCTGCTTTAGCATGTACAGGATTTTGATATTTTAAATTTCCTTCAACATGGGCCTGTTAATGACCTAGAAAAAAATAAGTTTAGTTTTGACAACTTGTTTGCTACATGTTTAATGGTAACATTGGTTGTATTTGCCTATTTTTCCTTCAGGAAGTAAAGAGCACCTTTGGAGGAGGTGTTATGGAGTGGAAAAGCCTGTATCCAGGGCCAAGTGACTTAATACAGGTTAACTGAAAGTCATTACAGCCTTCTAAAAAAGTGAGAAAGTACTTCTAAACCTGTAGAATTATATTCTAAAATGGTTAAATCAATACGAGCTACAGTTGAACAGTACTTAAGAATGTAGCTATTGACCAGCAAGCCTCTGAGTCAACATTTCACTCTAGTCATAGATACAGAAGGTAGATTTAGGTAAGCTACTGAATTGGTTCCCATATTACACTCCCATCGGTTGACACGAGAGGGTTTTATCCTTAAAGGTGACCTATGAATATTTTAAATAAATAAGCTATCTTAAAAGTAATTCATTTTCAAAAGATGTACACCACACTTGTATACAAGTCTACACAAAACTAATTCCTCCTGTGTTAAAGGGGACTTACTCCCAGAAAACGTACAGAAATGCGGCCTTAATCACAATGAACTTTAGTGGATCAGAGCCAAACAAGAGTAAATAATTACCATAAATTTAATTAGAAGCACTTATTTTCCACTTCTTATTCAAACAGCAGAAGGATATTACCTCATTAGTCACCATAGTTTGATTCTGTGCTTTTTCTGCTTCTGATCTTGTATTTTTTACTTGGTTCCTAGTCAGCTGCACTTTAGTCTTCAGGGAAGAAAATTCCTCTTCCAGATCTGAATGCTTTCCTGAAATGTCCCGTAATTCAGTATCTGCTTTGTTCATTTGGTTCCCAGTCTGCAAAAGGACAATAATATTCAGTGGCATATTTATAAGAGTGCAGGGGGGAATCCTTGCAATTAACTGGTATATTATGACATCAGCTTTCCTAAGCTAAGAGCTTCCCTCTCCACATGCATGAAGTGGGCTGAGGAGGTTGTATGAGAATATACTCCAGTGTAGACAGTAGCTTTCCTTAACTGGGTACTTGCTGAGGGTTTTGAGCTTCAGTAGGTGGTTTAACTGACCATGGGCCATTCTGGCTGGGTCAAAAACATCCAGAGAATATCAGGTTGGAAAATGGGTGAGCTGAGCTAGCAAGAAGAGAACTAAAATAATAGGAAGAGTGGTAGAGGAAAAAGAGACCCTTTTTAAATCTTGGGTTCTGAATAGAAATAAAACGTATTTGGCTTAAAAATAAGGCAAAAGGCCAGCTATGCAAAACTTCTCCCCATTGCCTGCTTTTCCTGCTACTGCCTCCTGAGACAAAAACTTAACAGCTGTTGTTTCCCTATCACCATTTATGTTGAATTTGTCAGTAATGTAGCATTTGTAGACACAGGGATCCTGAGTAAATAAAAGACGGCAATCAGATCTTCAAAGTGCAGGTTCACACAGTTGTACCCATTTGTATAAGGCCCTTCTGTGCAGAACAAGGGAAGGAACATTTCCGTCTCATTGTGTGTTGTCTTCCTATCCCACAAGCAGCTCTTTAAACCAGACTTTTCTCACCTGCCTGAGAGCTGACATGATCTATAGCACTGAGGAAGAAGTTAGATTCAAAGGGGGAAGTGTGATTCTCTGTCAACAAGAGCTCTGACTCCAGCCTTGTGAGGGCTCGTGTTTGGCTTATCCTACTGTTAGGTTAAAGCTCAAAACTGATGGAAATAATTGTATTAAAGAGTGTGTATATGTTATTTTGAATATGTAAAGTTCTGGGAAGTGCCATGCCACTTTCTACAACTGTAACATGAACATGAGCAAGTGTGTTAAGCTTCAGAAGCTGATATGGTAGCTTATGGCAACATTTCAAGAAAATAGAATGCTTGCATTGGGTTGGCATTGGGTTGAAGACAATTCAAACAAAAACTGGGAGTACTGTTGACATTTTCTTAGTAGCCCATATATTGCTTTCACTTAAGTTTCTGATTTAAATTAATTGTAAAAGATGTGAGGATACCTCTGAATTTTTTGCTTTTATTTCTTCTATTTTTCTATTTAAGTTTCCAATGTCATCTCTAACTTGTCCTTGAATACTTTCCACTTCATTCAAATTGCTTATTGTTTCATCAAGAGTTGGGAGACCTTTTGCTGCTTTCCTAAGTGGAAAAAATATCTCAGATCATCAGAAATGCAAGAAACATGTTAGGTTCAAATATTTTTATAGTTCTTTAACACAATCAGTATATATGTGTGTCTGTTTAAAGCTTTATAGAGAAATAAATAAACATCCAGGTCTTTGTTCCCAAGAACCTTGCAATCAAAATTTAGTTGCGGGGGGACAGTATAAGTAAGAATGTCAGTATAAAAGATAATCTTTAGACCATGCAAATTATTCAGTTCATGTTAGTCTATCCACTGGGTGACTGGTAACACGCAGGTATTTGACTACATTTCATAAATGTAAACAAAAGCAGATAGGGAAAAATACATTGATTGATTACATTTATATCCAGTCTTTTTTTCTTGCAAACTTACACACTCTTCCTCTTCCTCTCCATTTTCTCTTCATGGCAACCTTTTAAAGCAGGTTAACCTGAGTGTCAGTGACTCGCTCAAAGTCACTCACAGCATTTTCTTGGCAGCATGAGGACCAGAGCCTGGATCTCATGAGTCCCACCCCAACACTGTAGAGGTGCTTGTGCTTACTCAGTTTCTTGTGCTTTCTTCAAAAGTTGCCTTGCCTCTTCTTCTTGTTTATCTAACTTGTCCGTGTAAGTTGCAGAATCCTCACAGTGTACCATCAGACTTTTCAGTCTGTTGAGCGCATCTGTAAGCTGTTGAGGCATCCCTGGCAACTTGATGCCCAGCACATAATTAGCCACTTTCTCTATGTCTTCTGGAGGTGCGCTTTCCTCTAGGAAAAGGGAAAAGAGCACTGTTGAAGTTCCATGAGTTTGTGCCTCAGTATTAATATTAATTTACTTATCAAGGAAGAAACTGGTCAGTAGCTTTGCATGCAGAAGGTCCCAGCTTTGGTCTGGTTGGGGCTGTGTTAGAACCCTCCTGAAACCCCGAATGGCTGTTGCCAGTCAGTGTCTAAAAGATTGGTCAGAATGGCTCACTTGTCCAATCCTATCTTCCTTACCCTCTTGAACATTTTGTAATAGAATATTATGAGTCTGCTTTTGTTTTTGATTTTTCCATTGTTGTTCATGTTTATCTAAATAAGCACTTTTGTATGGTATGGTATGAAAATTGTCCTGTGGTGAAAATAGCAACTTTGCGGATTTTTTCATAAGAGAGTGGTGGGTGAGAAAGGGTGGGGTGGGGTGGGAAGGTTAAATTCATTGCCCACAATTCTGCAAACCTGAGCTAAAATGTTGTTAATGGTTTGGGCGTTGTTTTTTCTAAAAGTCTTATTCACAGATTGTATTCACTAAAGGCAGGCAGAGAGGCAAATGAAGAGAAGCAAGATCAGCAGAAGAATGAATGCTCTCTGTTCAGAGTGCAGTGAGAGTTTCAACAGTACTCAGCCCTGGCTGTATAACAAAATCTAAAAACCATATTACAGGGCTGGATAGAAAGCAGATCAAGATCTACTGGCAGATTTCTGTGTCTGGATTGCTGTAGAAACGTAAGAGTTTTTTAAAACTCCTGATAGTTTAACTTCAGCAAAAACAGAGTCCTTCTTGGTTCAGCTACTTTTGCATTCTGTTTGCTTACAGTTAAAAAAAAACCTTACAGAGATTTGGAATAGTACCTCTGAAATACTTCAAACACATACCAAAAAACTAAAATAAAAATCTAAGTCTCTAGTGATTTTATAAAATATGTACCAAAAAGGATTCCTCTAACTTATTATGTGAATATAGAACCTTAATGAATATAGAAGAAAAGCTTCCCAGCACATTTACCCAAGAGAAAGTTCTTCACGCTGGTGATGAGCTCTTTGATATGTTCTCCTTCCTTTTCTATTTGATGTTTACTTTTCTCCAGCTCTCCATTTATCTGTGCAGTTTTATTCTTTGTATCCTCAGTCATTCTCCTGATACTTTCTATCTACAAATAGATATTGAAATAATGAATTGATCTGTCTTAGTATTAACTTCTATGGAATTGGACAGCTGATCTTTCCTTAGTGCAGTTGAACTTCCTATAGTAGGTTGCAGAAGTATTTGCACTTGCCTTTTGACTTTTTCACATTTTGTTGCCTTACAACCTAGAATTGAAATGAATTGAACTGATGTTGTTACTGCTTGATATACACAAGATGTGCAACACCATGAAGGTGCAAAATATTTTTATTGTGGCACAGAAGTAAACAAAGTCAAGTGAACAAAAACAAAACAAAAAAGTTGCCTAAGTATACACCTGTCGGGTCAATGTTTGGCTAAAGCACCACTGGCAGTAATTATAGCTGTGAGTCTTCCTGGATCCTGTGGAATGGACACAATGAGTTTGCCTGTTCTTCCTGGACAATCCGTCTGTGCTCTGTCGGAGTGCATGCGGACTGTGGTAAATAGCAACGTTCATTCCTGAATTTGACAGGGCCATTTGAAGACAGTCAGGTTCTTGTTTCTAAATCTCATCAGTGTTACTTTAGCTATGCATTTAGGGTTGTTGTCTGCTGAAAGGTGACCCTCTCTGCTCCAGTCCCAAGTTCCTTCCAAGCTGAACAGGATTTCCTCTAGAATTGCCTTGTATTTGTCTATTTGTCCGCACCAAGTCCTGACCAATTTCCCAGTCCCTGCTGAGCAAACGCATCCTTCCAACATGATCCTACAACCACCATGCTTCACCATGGGGATAACATCCTCAGGGAATGAGCACTACCGGCTTTGTGTCAGACAGAGCATTTTTCAGCAAGGCCAATAAGTTCAGTTTTGTATTTTGTGTACATCAAATGGTAACAATGCCAATTCAGTGTGTTTAAATTCCATGCTGCAGTAGAATGAAATGTGGAAAAGTTGTGGGTACACACACACGCGTAATTCTGCAAGGCACTGTACCTCCATAATTGTTTCAAGGGGTAATAACACCATTAAGATTTTATTTTTTCCTAACTTCAGCTTCTGAGTACATCTGGATCCTAAACTCTTCACTAATGCAAGCGTATGCAAAGGAGTTCATTGGTGGGATGATGGAAATTGCTAAGCTTAGGTCCACTCCTAAGGAATAATTTTCACCCATTGATGCTAATGTTAGTACCACCTAGAACCTGAAGTTTAACCTATCAAGCTCCTAGCAATCAAAATCATCCTAAATCAACAAGAACTGTGGCTGGTGCATCTGTGCTGCTGTTACCTTCATTACTGTGATGGTGTAGTAGTAAAAGAGGAACTACTATATGTGGGAAGAACTGAATTCAGGGGAAATTCACAGGAAAGGGCAGCATTAGCATGGTCCCTCCATTCCTATAAGAGCCACTGAGGAGCAAACGCTATGCTACTCTTGCAATTAAAACCAGACCCTTCTGTCTTGGATACAGAATGAAGGCTGGCATGAATAAAGTGGTTAGCCAGTTGAAACACTAATTGGTCTTGAGGAGCTTAGGTGTGGACCTTGGCACCTGAGTCCAGTCTTGGACTCACTAGGTGCTATGGACATTTCACTCTCTTCCTGCCTTAGCTCTCCATCAGTTAAATGGGGGAAGTATTTACCTATATCTCAAGGAATATAAAGATTCAAAGTCATTATATATGAAATAAATATATATATTGAATCATATGTCACTGCTGTAAATAGAATACCTTATTGTCAGATCCTTGTATTTGATTGGTCAAGTTATTTAGCAAGATGGCTGTCTCACCAGCTCTTCCAAGAGCATTTTTAGAAACAGGGAGTGCTCCACTGCAGTGTGGACCACCACAGTGTTTGTTTCCCTGGATGTCTCTGCATAAAGCACCACCACACTCAGCCACCAGGCAAGGCAGGTTTCCTGGGATCCCACAGATCTGCATGAAAATAGATGTGATGAGGCCAAGACACAATAGCACAATGTGATGCTAAAGAAAAATGTTAGGAGACAATTTAAAAGTATCTTATCTGCAGGTTTCTCCTGTTTCTCAGAGACATGGAAGTTGGAAGATTGCTCTTAAGCTAGTGTTTTTCAAAAAGGTTTATCTTTAGAGAATATTTTCCATCATTATTGCCAAGGAATCACCAACACATTTCCTGGAATCCCTGCATGTTGCAAAGAGGCCTGGGCAGTGTTTTAAGGAACAAAGCCAAATTTGTGGGGCCTCATTATCCCACATGCACTGAGATTTCTTCAGTTGGTTTTTGCTTGATGAGTCACCCCTTTGGATTATGCAGACCCCTTCCCCACACCAATGCCAAGGGCTTCCACTGCAGATTCCTGCCTCTGCAGCTGCATTTTGCAAAAGAAAAACTAAAAGAAGGGCCAGGAACAATTACAGGCAACTGAGCATCACATTTAGGTTGATCCTGAGAACTCAGCCTGAAATAGCCTGTACTTCAGTGGAGGTTTAAAGCAGAGGCATCACTCAGCCAAAGAGATGATCTCAGCCTGCCTGCCTTTATTACTAATGTTTTCAATGAGGCATTTTTCATAGGTTTTTGGGGAGCTTCAGAAGTCCCAGGAGTACTGATTAAATACTACTATCTTGGGTTCAGTAAATGTCTCTTGTGCATACATTAAGCCCTGTTCATGCCAGACAAACACTCACACTGCATTGTAGCACTAAAAACCATCACTGAGCATGCTTTTTATTTTTATATCACTGTCTGAACCATTGTTGCTAAGGAGTATGACCCATTGGGCTGAAATCAGACTTAATCATACTTTGAGCAGGCTTACTGAAATTAATGGATCTTACGTTAGTCATAAATCTCATTCTATCCCATTGGTTTTAATGGGTCTCACTTCAAAAAAGTATGCCGAGAACTGCAGCTTTAGCCTATGCAACCTTTCTCCAACTGGGTGTTCTCCAGATGTGTAGGTCTGCAACACCCATATTCCCCATGACTTGCTGGTTAGGGTTGGTATTAATTAATCTTACAATATAATCCCACTTTGTCAAGCCAAACCCTTCCAAAGTGGCCAACATCCTATTTCTTGGACAGCCTACAGAATTAAAGCAAAGCAAAGCAAAATGCACACATTTGATGTCACACTAGCATTGCTACTGGTATGCCCTGTACTAATGAATTGGTTGATGGAACTATGTCCTCCTTCTCTATCAAACAACTAATCTTACCTTTTCATTTAGGTTTTGAATATCGGAAGTCCTGAGCATCAGCTGATCCAATGTTGTGTTTTCTTTAGGGACCAGATCATCTAACATGGCAAGTATACTAATTCTGGTTTTTCCACTATATGTTAGGACGGCCTTTGTTCCATTAATTCTCTCTCCAGCCAATAACATTATTTCGTAATAATCCTTTATTTTGTTGAGGGAATCTAAAATAATTTACATAGAGCATCTAAATACTTTCATTTACATGCAGCATCTAATTGCTTTCACTTTGCAATATATTCAGGACAAGACCCACTAAAATATGTCTGTGTGAGGGATTCTTACAGACCAAAGCAGGGCCAAATGAGAAGTGACACAAATATGCCATTTCAAGTTGTGTTTCATTCTCTTTGTTGTTTTCACTTTTGCTCCAAATTTTTGCAGGAACCAGGGTGTGTGAAAAAGTGTTTGTTGTTTAGCCGTTTCTCCTGTGCCACCATTCCAGTGACAATTGTGCCTCCACCCAAAGCTGCTATTAGCCCCAGAATGGAAGTATTCATTGTGGCACCAATGGAACACACACACACACACACACACACACACACACACACAGAGAGAGAGAGAGAGAGAGAGAGAGAGAGAGAGAGAGAGAGAGAGAGAGCGCGCTTTCAGATATACATACTTTCCAAGGCTATATCTTCCATGTTCCTGGCATACTACTAGCACAAAATAAATGTTACATAATAGCATTAACTGAGGAATGGAAAATGATACCATTCATTTATTTAGGTCATCTTTCTTTGTGAAACTTAAGGTGCCATTTGTGAGTTTCCCAGGCGCAGACCAGACCCAGACCTGTTTAACCCCAGCAAGGATCCTGTATCATGAGCTTTCAGCGCATTCCACCTTTAATGTACATTTAATAGCAGCTGGCTTGGCCTTTTAACTCAGTTGTATATTTAAGTGGTACAAGTCTTGAAATATACTAGTGAAAGTAAGCATTTGACATGAGTTTTACAGGGACATGTACCCACAAGTACAAAAAATCTTGCAAAAACTAGATTTGACAAGTTTCACCAGCCTATCTGTATTACCAGTGTGAATTTGTTTAGGCCTATTTGATGCTCATGGTTCCCCACTGGTGAACTGTGGTTCTGTGTACAGGCCTTCATATTTCAATGCTATCTTGACACCTTCACAAATTCAGGATTCTCTGAGAAAGGCTTGATGTTTAAAATTGATTTGAAACTGTTCTATATATGTAATGCAGACATATGCTACTGTCAGTCTGTATCAAACCAGCACTTTGTTGTCTGCTTAAGCTTTAATTTTGAACTATACTGCCTTTGGTTGTCTTGACATAGTTAAATCATGTTTTTTCTATGTTCTTTGAACTGAAGTAGACACTGGGAGATTTGAATTGAACTCCTGCCCTAAATTCACCACTATTTTGTTAATTTTTCAATGACTGGAACTGTATTTATTTATTTATTTATTAAAACATTTCTATGCTGCCCCTTGCCAAGGCCTCGGGGCAGCTTACAACATCAAATACAAAATACATTAAAACAATAACAATTAAAATATATACAGTAAAATAAAATAAGCCGCCCTGGCCGAATAAAATTCAATAATATTAACATTTAAAATGCTGTTTAAATAAAAAGGTCTTCGCCTGGCACCGAAAAACAAATAACGATGGCGCCAGGCGGACCTCTCTGGGGAGCGCATTCCATAACTTAGGAATCACCATGGATTATGCGTGCTTCTCAATATAGCTAGTAAAGTTTTCAGGTTTCTACCAAGAGCAATTACTTTTTTATATTTAAAGTTAAATTCTGAAGATCTGACAGCTCTGAAACAACTGTACAGCTGAAAACCTTTTAAACCTTTTAATTATTAGCTTTCCTACCTTGGAAGTACCTGTGATCAATCCTGTGATACAGTTCAGTTCTCTTTTGCAGGGTTTCAGAGAGCTGATCAGCATCTTTTCTTAAGTTTTCCAGCATCCTGCTTAATTCAGGAAACTGATCCACAAAGTCAGGCTGGAGATACATTTGTGAAACCTTTTGTCTAAAAAGAACAATCTTTGTAGTAATCTCTGATGTTCTTTTAAGAATACTATTTTACCTAAATTGACCCCTTCCCCCTTTCCTCATTTTATTTTATTTTATTTTTTGCTGTTGCTCAATCCTGTGTCAAGTCCAAGGATTGGGGAAATTGCCCCTCCAAATGTCCAAACTTGTCTACCGATGGTTTAGGGAAACAAGCCAACTTCATGAACTGCTCTTTGAAGCTGCCTTATTTTCCCTAAATACTATGACTAATTTCACTTTGTCCAGGTTTGGATATAGCAATAAACAGCACTCAGTCAAAGAGAACTGAAAGTTTCCACTCTCCTTCTCAAGATCCCACTGAAAATCAGAGGAACAAGGGAGCAGGCCATTCATGTAATGTAGTGCTAAGCCATGCCACTGTGTTCAAATGGGGCAATTAATTCTGGTTGGACCAGACTTTATTTGATTGTATGGAAAGGCAATAAAATGGTGGCTGCTGGATAATTTTTAACAGGGGCTCCATTTTTCAGTGAAGAAGGGCTAAAGAACCAACAGGGCTGGTTCAGCCTACTGACTTGTTCCACCATGAGCTGATCCTCATGCAATGTAGTGGATCTGGAAGCAGGTCTAGTGCCAGATTTGAGGCGTTCTCAGGCACTAGGACCCCTCTTTCTATCCTCCTAGTGCCCCTGGTGGAAGATTAGTTTGGGCTGTGGAAGCAGTGGGGAGTGAAGGCAGTCTGGTATCCTTCAGGGGCTCCAAGTGCCAGACAAAGTGGCTGCAGCACTTGGCACTCCAAGAATTTCCTCAGGATGCCTCAGAAACATTCTGGAGAGATAAAGATGGTAGTAGTTGCAGCTGCTTAACTGGGCCCGTCTTCAGAGAAAAAGGAAGAAGGAATCAGCTCCAATAGGGACACCCCCCCGCCCGATTTGCTCCTCCATGCTGGGTCTTAGAGTTGCTTACCCCCATCGTGCCTTGCCTTGTGCTTGGAAGGAACAGCTAAGGTGCAATGCACTCTGCTTGAGCCTCTGTTTCTGTTCACACTGCAGAAGAGGCTCAACGAACCGTTGGTGCCTCAACATCTGTGGAAGTGGCTTTAAAGTATCATACTATTTTGCAGGGCAGGGACTGGGGGAATGGTAAGGTGCTTGGAATCAGGAGCAAAGTTGGAGTTCAGAGGTGAATCTTTAGGGGCTGAAGTTGGACCCCAGGCTCCCGGTTGCCTGTTCCAAACCTAAGGCCTTAGAAAGCCTAGAATAATATTTGTAACCCTATAACCATGTTGTACAATGATCCACTGAAGAACATCCTTTTATAGCAAAAACTCCCGAGTGCCATCTTTCAGTACTCAACTAACTGAACACATACATAAATAACTCTTACCTGATATAGTCATGTTCCTTCTTAATTTTTAAGAGCACCTCTGATGACAGGATGGGGCTTTTTAACATTATTTCTATTTCAGAAATTGTATCTTCGTAGCCTTTGAAGTCTATATCACAACCAGACATTGTCTTCCTCTTGTCTCCTAGTGTTGCAGCAAATCTCATTAAAGTTTGGATTTTCTGAGATAGGGAACTGATTATATTATCCCACTGATCAAAACAAATGTGGCAACGGGGACAGGAAGGAAACTCCTGGCTATAACCTCGGGCACATTGGTCACAAAACCTTCCAGTGACCCCAGCACGGCAGTTGCACACTCCAGTGTCTTTGTCACACTCAGGCCTCCGAGTTCCATCCTTGTTACATTTACATGCTGGTGGGGATAAAAGCAATCTGATTTCATTATTGCTATCAGCTAATTAAGTTATATGTGGGGAAACAAACATCATCCTACTTACAAATACAATTGCTCTGAGGTTCACCAAAATAATTTTCATCACATTTGTCACAGTGTTTTCCAGTGTAGCCCAATTTGCATGGACATTGACCTGTAAACTGGAATAGGAGTCTGTAGTTAGGCACTGGCTGAATTGGCTCCCTCCCTTCTTTCCAAATTTTGTCTTTGATGTGCAAATTCATCTCCCGGCTCATTTCTGTGTAAATGCTGATACTCTGTTCTTCTTCTGATCTTTTTCAAAAACATGAAAGCTTGCTTAATTTGTTTATTTCTACCAACAAATTGGGACAATGAATATCCTCCAACATTTGACTCAGGCTTCAACCTGAGACTAGCTGCTGTTTGCTCTAAGATAGTGCTCAGGGTATCGCTTATGTTGCTGCAGCTTAAACCAGTCCAAAAGACATTAAAGGTCTTCAGGCATACCTTTTTCAAAGGCAGAGAATATACAAAGGTTTCCTTATCTACAGGAAAAGGTTAGTGCCACTTCCCCACAGTGCAGTCACATGTTTCTTCAGGGGTGGGGCTGGTTGTGAATTAAATGGCACTAGCACACTTCTTATTTCCATCCAGTCCACACCCTTCTTGGATGGGAAAGGCCAGTGAGATTGCTCCCAGTTATTGACTGGTTTGTTACACACACACTGCTTGAAGGCAGGGAACTGACTGTACAATCAGCCCCTGTACAAGTGAAGTTTTATATGGAAGAAGTGGTGATGCCACCTGAGTATGGATAGTTCATAAAAAACAGCTTTATGGACATCCAGCACAGAGTGAGAGAAACAGCGGAGGTGATCTTCGCCTCCCCATCTTTCCACTCTGCATTTTAGCTACGCAGACTTTTTTGCCTGTCAGTCTGATGTCTTGAAGGGGAAGAGAAAGAAACTGGAGCAGTTTCAGGATACCTCATATCTTGGCATCCCCAGTCCTGTCCCTCAATACCACCCCTTTTACCCCTATTCAAGGTGGTCCTGAACTTGGAAAGCAGCTAGTACATTTCTTTCTGCACAGGTTGCAAGGTGGGAAAGCTCCAATTCCAACTGTCCTCCCACCTTGGTTCTAGGAATACCAAAACTCCTATCGCTCTTTAAACATACTTAGGGACCATAAGATTATTCCCTTAAACAGTGTTGTTGAGAAGAAACCTTTATGTTTAAATTTCAGGTTCCAATGCTTTTTATGTAATCTAGCATTTTTCATTTTGTTTTACTCCTGATTATCTCAGTACAAATTTTCACATTTTACCTTCTTTTTATGGAGGAAAGTCTAATATATACATAATAACTCATAAGCTAGTAATTATCTCAAACATCTTACCTGGTCACACAAGTTATTTTGGGAATTTTCTACATTGCAGTTACAGAGGTGGCATCCAGTTCCCTGGACCAGGTTCCAGTAGCCAGGAGCACATTGGTCACACTTGGTGCCTATAACATTAGGCAAGCAAGGGCACTCCCCGGTTGTCTGGTCACACAGGCAAATGCCATCTCCAGATGGGCATTCTGTTGGGTTCACCCCAAGAAGGTTGCAATCACATTCTGGAAAAAAAAGTTATATAGATGCTTGATCCCTTATAAAACTATATTTTGCTAGGATTGTAGGTTAACTTGCATTTATCCGTGACTCTGTTCTCAACTGCTTCTCTTCCTGCCCAATTTTTGCTAAGGGTAGGTGCTTTTTCCTCTTTCTGGGGGGCTTCTTGGGTGTCTCATTTTCTCTCTGTCTCCCATGGTTTTTTTGGTGCCCAGTCATAAAAAGTCCCATCCAAGCCCGTCTCACTTCAGTACTGCATCTCTATATGGATTCCTCATATATAAACTTGTAAGGGGCGGCATAGAAATGTTATTATAATAATAATAATAATAATAATAATAATAATAATAATAATAATAATAATATAGCTATACCAATTGTAATAGCTCCAATTGGAGCTTCTGAAATGTACTTCTAAACCTTCTTTTCCTCGAGTGCACTTAGCATTCATGATCCACTCTGTCAACCAGGTTGAACAGGTCAAGCAAGCCAAGGGGCTCTTTCTTTGATTCCTTCCCTGCTTGAACTCCTCATACTCAACCTCCTACATTATCATTGCTCTCTTTGCATCACTGATAAGCTTGTTCCTAGAGAAAATATTAGAAACAGCTTGGAAGTACATTTCCTCCTTTGTATTGCAGTCTAAATACAACAGTGTTAGGGATGGTGTCCTAGGGCAAGTTCACTTTGATTTTATTTTAAGGTTTATAATGCTCATTTCTAAAGCATTAAGTGATGGATAGAGTATTGTATTATCTCAAATATCCTCTAAATTGAATTCGTGGATCATGTTTTCTTGAGTCTCCCTAGCAACTTCAGTACTAATACATTTCTGTCTTGCAAAAGTTTTATCTTTCCATCTGTTATTCTGATCCCAAACAAAACGTTCCACCTTATGCAAAAATACTGTAATCAGAATAATTATACCAGATAAGAAAAGTCATATTGATTTTATTTGTGTGCAAAAGTTATTCTAACCCCAGAATTTGATTTCTTTTTCCTTTTATGTTTAATGCCCAGTTCTAGACTCGTAAGCTAGAGAGGCTGCTTACTTGTACAGTTCTGCAGAAGTGCTGATCCAAAATAACCGGGTTTGCAGAACTGGCAGTTTGGCCCTTGTGTGTTGTATAAGCATTTCACGCACTCTCCAGTATCTTTGTTACATGAGTCTGGATCTGTTGCTTCAATATTATTATTGCAAGAGCATGGGAGACACTGGCCTGCTGCCATCTTTGGATTCCCATAGAACCCATCAGAGCACTCATCACACCAATCACCTAACAAACCAAAATTTACACAGAATTTAGTAGATTCATTTTCAACACAAATTAGTTGCTACAACTGCCTAGAACAGGACTCACATTTCTAGATATAAAATTAAACTGTCCAATTCATTGTGAAATTACTCGAAGTCCTCATTGTTAACTAATTGGAAATGCTCACATTATGAGATTGTGTCCCGCCCCGTCACATGCCAGCTCATTAGAAAAGTAGTAAACTTTCCATTTCTTTCAAACATAGAAACTTCACGGCATCTGTCTGTTCACGTTCTATTCTTTATTTTCTACTGACCTACCTCTCACTTTTAGAAGCATACAATGCTATGCCAATTCCTACTACAATCTTTAAGCATTCTCCAATGCACCTTGAGCACTAAAATAAATTGCACTGAAGTAGGATAAAGGAGCTCTAGTGAAATGACAAGTATTGGTTTGTGCAATGGGATTCTCCTATTGGTGTTGTACTAGAAGTCCCTAGTGCAAGTGCAACATAGTTTATGTTAGTTTTCTGATAAGTGAATGACAAGCATTTTTGAAGGAGTTCCATCTCTGAAATGGACTGAGGTTTTCCATAGTCTTTGACAACATAAGATAAACATTATAAAACTCTCAAAGGAAGGCAGGCTTCCTACCTGTGTAGCCTGCAAAACAGTTGCAGATTAATTGCATCGTCCAAGGATCTTGATAACAGGAATGTGCAAAGTACCTACTGCTTAGAGGAGAATCTGGGCACATACATGGACGACAGGACTCCCTTTTGAGAGGATCCCCATAATAACCATCTACACATCTGCCAAAACCATAGTGAACATATTTTAAAACAACAGCATAAGAACACAAATGAAGTCCTTTTGGTAATGACACAACTAGATCATTTTAGAGCCTCCTTTAGGCAGCCCTGGGTATTACTAAAAAACCACCCCTTCACCAATACATATATGCACAATCCCTTGCTTTATATATCTCCCTCTACATTCTGAGTTATTTGAACAACAGCACTTAGTGTTGGTCATTCTTAGTATGTTTCAATTTGAGATATCAGTATTTGCATGTAGGACATCATTGGCACATGGATAGGATAGTGATAGGAGGGAAATTATCATATGTGTTGCATGTATAAATAAATACTGGTAAATACTGATCCAGTCCAAGAACAGGTGCAGCGCTCACACCAGGAAAATTTCCAAGGGACCCCCATTTCAGTCCCACTTCCCCTTTATCCTCCTCTTTTCCTATATACAAGGATGCTTTCATACATAATGGCAGTGCAAAGGGCACTGTGTGCACTTTTCATATCCACCTTCAAGCCTTCCCTAATTTTCATTCCAATTACTTAAACCCACCTAATGAATTTGCATCTGCAACAATATCTGTCTATCCATACCTTTCACAGTTGGCTCCCATTGTAAACCCTCTACAATTCAAGCATGCTCCAGTCTGTGGGTCACAGAGTTCTGCAAAGCCATTGCAAGGGCAAGGCCGACAATGGGGAAAACCAAAATATCCAGCCAAGCATCGATTACACTGTTGGCCATCCACTTCTGGCCGGCATGAGCATTGCCCAGTCTCCTGGTCACAGAGCGCACTTACTGATCCTTGAGGATGACAGTCACACGCTAGAAAAAGAAGCAGAGATGACAGTTCAGGTGATGTTTTGTTTAGTTATCTTAATATAAAGTTCTTGGTGTGATGCAACCTGGGTGCCTCTTGCTCTCTGTGTATCTGCTTTACATAGTCCTGTGAAGCAAGTCAGCCTTATTCCCATAAGACACATAGAAAACATGTGCTGTGAAAGAATGACCATTCTAAGGCCACCTGGTACATTCATGTCTGATATGAGAATGTATTCATGTCTCTTAAGTACCTGGAAAACAAAGATCTGTCCATTGCAACATACAGTAAAAGATATTTTTAAAAAATGGTGTGGGGGGTAAAACTGAACAGCTAAATATGAGGGGTCTTCAAAAAGTTTCCATACTTTTATATTTTATATTTTATAAATATATTTTTTATATCTTTTGCTGATGACATCAAAAAGTTAGTACTGTGCTGGGAAAAATGCACTGCAAAGGAAGGTGACTATGTAGAAAAGTGATTTAATTTGTTTTTGTAATTCATAATAAATAGAGTTAAATAAGTGTGGAAACTTTTTGAAGACCCCTTGTATTTAAATCTCAGGAACAAAGCCCACTACTTTAAAAAATGGTGTAGGCCAATACTTACGGATACAACCCTGGGACCCAAAACTGTGGCTTCCAGCTGAACATTTATCACAACAGCGACCTATGACGTTTGCTTTGCATTGACATTGGCCTCCAAGTTTCTCACAGTTTGCATTCACAGATCCTTGTGGGTGACACCTGCAGGCTTTCAAGGGAAATGCACAAAAGAGATGGTTTGACCCAATTCTGTATTACCACGTTATTTATTTATACGTTGCCCTTCTTCAAAACAAAAAATAGCAAGATTGAAATATTACCAACGCAACCAGAACATAACTAAAAACTACCTGTGAAACAAGAAAACTCATCCAAAACATTTCTGCTTAAGAACACCAGAAGATTCATGCTGGATCAGGCCAAAGGTTCATCTCATCCACCATTCTGTTCACACAGTGGCCAAATAGTTGCCTGTGGGAAACCCAGAAGTAAGCTCTGAGCACCCTCCTGGTTTGGTGTTCCCCACAAAGCCACGCTGCATCTGGTCCGGAAAGCAGCATATCACTATCAGGACCAGTAGCTATTGATAGCATCTTGTGGTAGGCAGTTCCATAGTTTAACTATATACTGTTTGAAGAAATACTTCAAATATCTGTCCTGAATCTCTCACCAATCAACTTCAGGGGATGACTCCAGATTCTAATATTACAAGACAAGGAGAAAAATGTCTCCCTATCCAGTTTCTCCACATTATACATAATTCTGTACATCTGTAGCATGTCTTCCCTTACTCAGCTTTTTCCTAAGTTTAATTGTCCCACACGTGTAACCTTTCCTCTTCTGAGAAACCTTGCTCTCTTCTGAATTTTTTCCAACTCTTTCTAAGCAGAATCACTATTTTGTAGGCAGCAGGAAGCACAATTCTGCCAGGAAATGAGACCAGTGTTTTGCACATGCTTTGTTTCCAAGCTGAATCGTTGGGTATCCTGGCATCATGGAAGCAGTGGCGGACTCGCCCGTGAAGGCAGCAGATATGTGAGGGTGGCAAGCCCTTGAGGGAAGGTACACACATTTTGCTGACCCCTGGAATGCTTGAAATGTAACAGATAAGTTGCTGTGTAATGGGGAATCTTTATTTTCAGGCTTTTCTCTACAGAAGGATGCTCCCTAAAATATGCTGGACCACAGTCATATAGAGGTTCAAACCACTTTGAGCTGTGCCACCAAATGACCTAAGTTACATATTTGTAGTATATCATCCTAGTATGAAACAGGCCATTATATTTTTCTGAATATCTTTCAAAAACAGATGTTTCCAAAGGAATTTTATTGACACCTCAATTAATTTTTAAGAGGTGTGTTTTTTTTTTTAAATCCTGCTCTTTAGCCAAATTACTTCCCAAGGCAGATACCAAAGGTGAGAAAAAAGTAAGTTTCTGCCCACAGACTTCCAGTCCAAAGATACAAACGCCCAGAAAAGGAGACTGGGATGGAGAACATTAAAGTTGTCTTACAAGAAGTTAAAAGCACAGAAATTATGTACTCTTTTGTGCCTCCTTAAAATGCAGAGAGTATGCAAAGGTAGCAGCAAGAGAAGCAACTAGCACCAATACTTACAAACTACTCCATTGTGAATATGAGCAGACAGACTTGCTATTAGTTTTGCACATGCTTCTGGCAGGATATGTGGTCCAATTTCTGAAGCTATTTCAACACAGTGGTATTGCTGGTACTCTTCTAAATCGTTTTTGCTGCAAAAGTTTTCCACCGAACTGATTCTGGGAATGAGCCCAAGCTTTAGAATTGACAAAAGCAAAGACATGTTTTAACTGACTGAATAGAAAAGTATAATTTAGCAAGCCCCAGTTTAGTAGTTGAATTGGATTAATAATGTATTTTTGCACTGGAATTATTATTGTCTGATGACTCATAAAAATGAATTGGGAATGAAGCCCATTCAGTGCAGCTTTCTGGGTACTGCAGTCTTACAAAGAGTTTTAACATGATTCAAGTTAATCACTCCTCTGCTTGGTTGCAGATTTTATGCACATAATTGTCCCCACACTTCTTAAATGGATGAGTTAGTCATTTGATGCAGGAACGTAAAAGGCACATGAGGGTTAAATATCACATTCCATTTGTGACCTTACCTAGGAATAAAGATACAGCACACATATGATTGGGTAAATATGGCCACCCATTTGGAGTACAATGGAAAAGATCCAACATATGGTGGTAAGAACTGAGCAGATCTTGTTGAAATGAGCTAATATGAGTGAGCCTAACCCAGCTTAGAGGCCAAAGACAGTCTCTGTCCTCCAGTCATACATTTTGCTGTTGAGGGAGATCCTCTTAGAACTTCCACAGATCCCACTGTTCTGTGAGAACCATTCAGCCCCAAAATGGATTCTTATCTTTCCCCACAGTTTGCAGAGAAGGAACAGATCTGACCTTTTGTCTCCACAGCAGATTTAGTTCCCCCACTCCATTTCCCTTCAATGAAACCAAGCAGTTACACCAGCCCCAGTCTGATCCAGTGCGTCCAAAACCATCTTGCCTGCCACTTTCTACTGCCAGGTCTTGATTTCGACCTGCCTTGAATCAATCACTCTTAACCTGCCTTATACGATAAGACATATGGGAGGGAACCATGGAAGCTGTCCTGAGCTCCTTGAGCAAGGGTGATAGAAATGTAATAAGTTTGAAAAAATCCAGTTCAGAGGATAAAAATAAGTAATTTTTAATGGAATCTTTAGACGAAGAACATGCTATACATTTTTAAAAAGAAAAGGGAAAAAAGGTTGAGACTTGACAGTTATGACAAGGCAAAGAATTATAAAGGAAAGGATATAATCTATTTTATTGCTTAATTTAAATATTTTTGTGGTGGTTTGCCACTGATTGCTGGATGGGATATAAATGCATCAATTGATTGTGCCTATAATGGAGTTAATTCATGGAGTCATCCATCAATTGTTCAAGATAATGAGATCAGACACAAAGGAAAAGTTGTTACGCAGCACACCTACTTACTGAATCAATCAATATGGATGGTGGAGTTGTTAGATCAGAGACAGAAGACTTGGAAAAATAGACATCTACAAAATATTCTGTTCCTGGTTCAAAGCATGCAGGAGTAGGTAACAGTGCAATTCTGTAAAAAAGGTATAATCATGAATCCAAGAATCCAGGTATTCTTAATTCTATTCTATTTATTTGGGTTTTTCTTACCCATCCAATCACTACACGTCTCTGGACAACTTACAACAAATTCTAGGGTTAATGATTCTGGTGCAGAACTGGAAATATTTGTGCAGATGAAAAATGGAGGTAGGCTGATGGAGGGTGAAGTGTTAGAATTGGTAAGGAGATAAGTCCCTTTTCCCTGAGACTCTGATTTCCCAATATAGTAACTTTGCAACAGCATAGATATCCTAGGAGTGGTCTAAAGAATAGTTATTATCCAGACCTCATTGTATATGGCAAAGCGAGTGAGTGAGGTTCTTGCAGGATTGCCTTGTTCTTACAGTGTTCACTTCCCATAGTACCAGAAGGCTTTACAACAATGCTCGCTATCCAATCTTCTGAAGTCTGCAGGTTTGGGAAGAGAAAAGAAAAGCTGGTTACCTTACAAATTTGAAGCAATCTTGATTTCTTGCACAGGTTGATAAAGCAGAAACATCCTACATTATTTGATTACAGAATAAGGGTAAAACTAGCAATGGTTGGATGACTGCTTCCATCAGAAGCAACATTTGCTCCAGGCCACTGACCCCATAATCCACACATGAAAGTAGAAATGCCACAGATCAGCTTGGTACATGCAGGACTGCTGTGTACCAGATGAGCAGTCTCATTCAGGAGTATAAACTCCATGCATATTACTCATACATGGATTATGCCATATAGAAACTTGCCATGTATGTTTGTGTATGTATGTGAGCATGCAGTCATATATGCAGCCTACTATTTGTAGCATTATTTCTGTTGTGATGCACACATATGATTTGGCTGTAAAATACTGTGAAAAATCTCAACCATGTAGTGATGTCTAAGATTTACGATTTACATATCTTGTCCTGGAAGATTTTTATTCTTGATGGCCCTTCACTGTGTGAACATTCCCAGACCTTACTGTATAGGGAGATTTTCCAAAGAAATGTTCTTCCCACAAAATCAGTAGGTTACTTTTACCATGTCAAAGATAAACCTGAAGAGCACAACAAATTGACAGGATTTAGTTCAACTTATTCCATCTTCCCAAGATTAATACATCTTGTGTTTTGCTTTAATTCAAAGGCCCTGCTTTTATCTTGTGTTAAAATAAAAGTTGAACATGAAAGTTGAAAATTCCAAACAACAATAATTACCTCAGGCTCATAACGAATGATGAGATTAAAATCCATCAAGAAAGGAATGTTGTTGACTGTAAATCTTAGCCCTGTTCCACTTTGGACACGCACAAAACCTAGCCCTGACCACGTCACAGGCTTTCCAGGAATGGGCTCCCTAATGACAATATCCAGAGCAGAGTTCCTGACAGATAGAACTGAACCCTGGAAGGAAAATTTGCATTTTCAAATAACAGGTTTCATTCACGAGACTTCACTATAGCGATCCTCTCCCCTATGATTAGAGTAGCCACTGACCAACTTTCCCAAGCCTGGCACCCTCCAGATGGTTTGGACTTCGATTTCCATGAGTGGAAGCAATGATGGGAGTTATAGTCCAAAGTAACTAGACAATACAAGCTGGAAAAAGTGGCCACAGTTTTTGTTCCTTCTCTTCTACTACCATCACTCCTGCGGTGTGGAGAGCTCCCGCCAGCCCCACTGCCCTCTCTGAAAAGGAAGAATGAATTACGGCTTCATTTGACTGCATTATTCCTATGGGAGGGCAATGGAAAACCACAGCAAAGCTGAGTAGAATGGCCATCTCCATCCAAATCTGGGAGGAGAGAGAGAGAGCCTCCATGTTCCTGCTAATTTCTATACTAGTTATATACATATGCATCCACTCCACCAGTAAAACTTTCTGTCTTCAACCTTGTGTGACCAGTATACTTCAGCCATTTATTAGCATTATTCTTTATATCCCAGCTTTATATTCTTTCTATCCCAGCTGATTAGCTAGCACATAATCAGGAACATGTGTGAACTATGCAGAACATTTTCGTTTTGTACCTTTGATGTTTCAATATTTTGGGCCAAGCTGAAATGGCTTGGAAGCTAATTCCCCTCAGCTTTTTTGACACAATGTATGTCCTTTAGGAATTCAGTTAGAAAACACCCATTTAATATTTCGTAAATGCCATAAGTGACACAGATGGGAGAGAGCCAAATAAGGCATATCTCTCCAAGGATCTTGAATCAGTCTTACTTTTTGATAGATGTTTTTAATCTTTCCTTGCCATTTCTCATAGGGCAATTAACAGTATGTTAGATTTACCTGTCCATTGGTTGCTTTTCTTATGCTTCTTTTCTTACTCCTGTTCAAGACAATTTTTCCATTTTCAATTGCGAAATCATAACCTTGTTGTCGAAAATAGACATCACATGGTGGCATAGCTGTGGGTTGAATCTTATAAACAAGTAGCTGTGTTAAAGTGTTGGCTTTTTGTTGTTGTTTTGTTAGGAATGTATATATGCAATCCAATTATGAAGGACTATGCAAGCACCAAAGTTTCAGAAATAAAAGTCTGAACCATATCTTATTTTCTATGCCAGAGAAATCTGCACTAATCTACTTACAAACGGAACTCTGTGTATATTTGGAGGTGGAATCTGAATCCAAGAAAATCAAACTTCTATTTTCAGAAACAATGGTGGTAATTAAGAAAGGTAGGAATAAGGAGAGAGAAGAAAAATCCCATTATTTATGTGCTATCTATGTTTTTTAATCCCCAAACTTGAGGAGGAATTAAATGAGAAACCATGCAATTTCAACAGGGAATATTGAATAGTGTTTAAATGCAGAGTGTGTGCCATGCTGAATTTAAATTGTATATTCATGCACTCAGAAAGGCTGAAATTTGCATAATTTGAAATGCCAAAGATTTCAATGTTCTGCATAATTTATCCTGGTTTCCCTAGTCATGAGAAGGGCACATACGTCTTACTCACCTGCCATGGGAAATTTTGTTCAGTACTTTCTTAGGTTGGGAAATGTGAGCTAACATTTCCTACCTCCTTCCAAGCACATCTTTGCAATACAGGCACTAGTAATCTGCTCTTTGATTTAAAATGAAAGCCAAGGTTCTTAGGAGCCACGCAATACAATTCTTGTTATACTATATGACATGCTTCCCCAATCATGGGATCCCCAGACTACAATCCCTACTGCCCCAGATGACTGGCAATCTTGGGTCAGGATTATGGGAATTCTGGTACAAAACATTGGAAAGCATCACAGTTGGCAAAGTCTGGGTTGTAGCATACACACAGCCCTGCGTAAAAATGATTTTCTTCCTGGAGTTTGCCATATGAGCCAAGAACCTTTTGCTGTAAGATGAAATATAAATATGGAAACAAACAACAAATACAATTACAGTGGTACCTCGACTCACGAATGCCTCAGTTCACAACCAAATCAACCAAATCAACCAAATAAAAATTTTGACGCAGGTTGCGAACTCTGCATTGGGTGGCGACCACATTCACGGCCATCTCCCCACCTCCCCAAGTGGGGAGATGGCCGTGATCGTGCTGGGGGTGGAGGGAGATGGCCGAAATCACGCCTGTCTTTCCTGCACAAGCGTGTCCATGATTGTGCCCGTCTTTCCTGCACGAGCGCAACTGTGATCTTAGTCATCTCCCCCCGCAGCACGATCATGCCCGTCTCCCTCCCTGAGTGCACCCACATTCACGCCCATCTCTCCCCCCCAGCGCGCCCATGTTCGCGCCCGTCTCTCCCCCCGCCAGCGTGTGGGATGACGGCTACATGCAGGGATAACAGGCGTGATCACGGTCGTGCTGAAGGGGGGAGGGGGAGATGGCCGCACTTGTGCTCAGGGTGGCGGGGGGGGGGGGGAGATGGCTGCAGTCTTTGTTGTTCTTTGTCACTTTGCTTCACATTTTTCTGATTAAAAAAAATAGTTACAGAACGGATTAACCTTATTTACACTGAACCTTATGGGGAAATTTAACTTGGCTCATTACCAATTTGGGTCACAGCTAGAGTCCTGGAATGGATTAAGTTTGTGAGCCGAGGTTCCAGTGTATGTTACTCTTTTTTTTTACAACCTTTCTTCTTTCTCTCTGCTTCGTGGTAGTTTTACCAGGTCTGCATATTTTGATCTATCTTACTATAAGCATAAGCTATACTGCACAGTGGAAATAAGTGAAATACCAAAGGTAAGGATCCTGGGAGAGGCCATGAGTCTTCTGCTTCATATATATAGTAATCCAAAGGTAGAAAAAAGTATCCTGCAGCTGGGTCAGTACACTGACGGCCCACTATGTTAGGAAGGCACTCACACTGACCATCAATAGTTGCACACCTAATAGAAAAGGCAGGAAATGGAAACATTATAAGAACTCCTACAATCATAGATCAAGGCACAAGTATCAGGAGATATTCTTCCTTATCTTGTATTATTGCAATGTAAATGCTTTTTCATAGTAGCCAAAGTAGCCTCCCTAGCTGTTAGCTGTACTGTTCCTTAAGCCTAATCTTTAAGTTCAGGCTTGCGGGTTTTGATGACTTTAGCAAAGGAAAAAAGGAGTATCTTCACACTAGGGGCAATTCTGGGTTATAGTCACTACTTTCAATGGGAGTTCTTGGTTCAATTTTTCTTAGATATTGAGTGAAATACTTGAAATCTGAACTCAGACTTACAAGTTATTGTGGGCACCACCAATGTCACAGTCGCATGGCAAACAGCCATGGAAGTTACTTCCAAGACCCCAGTATCCTTGCTGCAGAAAAAAATGACAAAAACATTGTTTTACCTGGTGAACATGATGGTTGTTGGACTCCATTCCTAGTATAAGAACAAATCAACATGCACAAGGGTTCATACTGAGTGGCACTTTCTACCAGTATGGAGACCAGTAAATAAGGTACTGTGTTGGGTTTCTCTACTACCAAACTCAAAGCAGCCTCCTTCTATGCTCCAAAGCTCACATGTGTGAACCATGTTTGTGCTTGCCCCGGATCTGGAATTTAGCAGAAAACATTTCCTGGGTTTCCCTCATGAATACTGGGCTAAGACTGAGCCCCAGTTCCTTAACAATTCATGAGAAACAGAGATTTTTCCATTCAACCTCCATATTTTTGCTTTTCCTGATTTATCCTTACAAATGGCCCCTCTAATGAAGTACTGCAGAGATATATTGCCATTTCGAGAACTACTTCATATCTTTTCCTTTTCATTGGCATCTCACAGATTTTTGAAAGGTAGGAAAATCAACAGAAAAGCCACTGAACAGTTTATAAAACTGTGTGAATTCTTCATGAATACATACAAGGCATTTCTCACAATGTTGCCCGGTGGCAAACTGCTGGCACAGACACTCTCCAGTCATGGGATTGCATGCAGAGAAAGGGAGGCTTCCAGAAGGATCACAGTTGCAGGCTGAAAATAAAGAATGCACAGTTACTTCTATGGGCAGAAGCGTGTGGCAGCCACTTCCCATCATATGGAAATGCAGCTCCCAGAGGCAGGATGAGCAAGCAAGCCAGTGTGGGTCTTTGGCAACTATACCACCGTATTGCTGAATGCCATTTCTACCTTTGATTCACTACTTCTAAATATTACTTCATCTTTTGAGCATTGACACAGAAGGCTACCACAGTAAAGAAGGAAAAGAACACAGAATGGCAAGGATAAATGGGTGACTGGCCCATGATTGCTAGCTGTCTCCTCCTCGCACCTTCTTCACAGAATAGAAGGCTTGGCAAGGCCCTGAGGGTATTTAGCATCCCTTTGCAGATCATGGAACATAAAACTGCTTTATCTAGGATTGTAACAGGGCATGGGCAGAATTTGGGAACAAGCAGGGTTAGAGTTCAAAAAAAACAAAGACTGGTCACTCTTGACAATTCACATTTAATTTTGAAATGCCATAGAAGGTGGACTCGCAATCATTATGCATTTCCTTTGGCCAGAACAACGTAACTAGGGCAAATATACAGCTAGGGGATATGGGGTACATTTTCTTTCCCATTTGCTTATGTTTTATAGTGCAACTTCTCCTTTGAGATGGAAATTTCCCTCGCCATAACTGAGCCAATAAACGACACAAATTTAATACAGGCAACTTAACCTCTTCTGAAATTAGAGCATGACCGTGCATTTTTATCTACTTCTATCTATTAGAAAGGGAAAGAAAAGGAGAACTCCTACATTGACAGCCAAGGGGATCGCTTCCACTCAGTCCATAGAAGTTTGGCTTGCACTTGTCGCAATGTACTCCTTCCACATTTTCCTTGCAGTGGCATTGGCCAGCAACAGTTCCAAGAGCAGGGTCCGTATGACCATCACACAGCCCATTGTACAGGGTACCATCTGGATCACAGGCACAAGCTATGGACACACAGACAGACCTTGATGTTAGCGATCCTATGGAAACATTAACATACTGAGAAGAATGGCCCATCTTGCTAAGCTCCACATAACTATCATATCCTTTGAGTGAGAAGCTCAAGTGTGTGTGTGTATTGCTATAGGAAAAATAGCTGCAACTAACTTTAGAGAACAAATTACTCCTTTATTGCAGAGCACACAGAATATTATGTGTCATGATTTTAAGATGAGAAGTTGTACTTATTTTATATAAGACAAACATGAATAATTTGGCTAAACAAGAGTCATTTGTCACACACTTCAGAAAAAGCATGAGTGCCATGTGAAAATACAGTCCATTTCTTTTGCAGCTTTAGCCAGGGTTTGACTGCTTCAGTCCTCCAGGATCCCCATAAATACCCACAGTCCATTGCTGGCCCTCAATCATCTCATGATTTCCCAGATTTTGTGCAGTTTTTGTCTCAATTTTAAAGACTGAAATGAGTGACTTCTTCTAAGGCAGGGGTGTCCAACCTTTTGGCTTCTCTCAGTCACATTGAAAGAAGAAAAATTGTCTTGGCCCACACATTAAATACACAAGCACTAACGAAAGCTGATGAGCAAGAAAAAAGGTCTGTGCATACTTTTCATGATATTCGCCACCACCATGCATACAAATAGTGAGAACATGCATACATTTATTTTATGTGACCTTGCAACATGATGTCATCTACAAAGTTCACACTCAAGAACTGTGCAATTGAGTTACAAAAAAAATCACAAAAAGATTCAATGTTTTAAGTAAGTTTATGATTTAATGTTGGGCTGTATTCATAGCCATCCTGTGCTGCATGTGGCCCACAGGCCACAGGTTAGACACCCCTGTTCTAAGGCTTTAATTCTAAGGTACGGTGGATTGCATACACATTGCAGAGTATTTTTGTATCTTTGGCTCCATCCAATGGAACATGACCCTGAGAGCTTCTCTGCAAGTGAATTTGGCCCTTTGGCTTAAAGAGGCTCCCCATCACTGGGCTAAGCATTGTCTCTTTTGTTAAGGTGAGAGGGGTACAGAAAGGCCTAGGTCCTTATCTTAAATCCTAATTATGATTTTCCTAGAAGTCTTTGGCTTTTTGTATTATGATTCTTAAATATTTTTCGAAGAGCAGAAAATTCCATGTTTCCCACCTGAGACCTAATTCAGCTTCCGCCATTATATACAACTTGCTGTTAGTTTCCTAAATTCTACAGGTTGGGTCCAAATTAAGCTAGTTGAGCTTATTTCCCATTGAAATCAAGCAGACAAGTCATTATGCCCTTTCTGGATCCAGTTCCTATGTTCCAAAGAGCATTTCATACTTACGGATACATGCATGAGGGTCTGAAATTGCTTTCTGGGGGTCTTGATAAAAAAAAAGCTTGCACCGATCACAGTGTTGTCCCACTGTATTATGTTGACAGTCTTCACACACTCCACCACTGACATGGTTAGTGGAAAGATACACCGCCATATCAAAATGACAACTTTCAGAATGACCATTGCATTCACACTCTGAAACAATACAAAACTCAGTTGTGTCTGTGCACAGGAACAGAGATTGTATAAATGCAAGTACTAGAAACAGGCTCAAGATTCTGTTGGACCCACAAGTTTGAAGGAGGGACTGTGGACAGCTTTATGTAGAAAGGAACTTGCAACAGAAAGTTCAGCCCATCAGTCCACTGTATTTTAGCTCATATATTGTGATGGCAGATTGCCATTCTCAAATATGAAAAAGCAATGTACTAAATTCTTAGGTACTTTGGCAAGCATTTTCCTGTGATCCTTCAGCTGGTCTCCAGGGAGCATCATTGTAGAAATCCTTGCATCTTTCACAGGACAAACCTTCTGTGTTATGTTCACAGAGGCAATTCCCATGGACCTGCAATACATCAACAACAGATGTAAAGCACAGAATTAAAAGCAGTGCTTTGCTTTTCCTTGAATATGATCCAGCACAAATATCTCTTGTGCCATTCCACAGAAATGAACTGGATATACACACACCACTTCCACACACATACAAACACACACACAAATACCTTGGATCTAAGATATATATTGCTGACTTGTGACTAGGCTTGAGCAACAGGGATACGTGCTGTGGGTACAAACTGATACAAGTGATTTAAAATCTCTTCAAGGGTGGCAGAGGATTTTACTCCTAATGGCAGGAATGTGTGAGTCTTGCCATAAATCTCCTGTAATAGCATAACCTGTACATTTTAAGATTTAGATGTCATCTAGGGATGGGGTGGGCAGACTTCAAACATGCAGGATATACTTTTTCTTTTCTTTTTTCTGGAATCTGAAGATCCACCCACTGGAAGCTGGTGCAAAAGATGTAGACTTAGAGTTAAATAGTGTATTTTGAGCTTCAGAGCTTTACTGTCTTTTCAAACAAAAATCTACCCTTGATTGCCCTCCAAAATTTCTTGGAAAGGGGAGACATTCTGGGGCTGCCATTGGGACTTCAAATCCTTGTCAATCCACAGCAAATCACTCATGCAACTATCAGTAGAATTATACCCCTTCTGCACATTGCCAGGTTTTGCTTGACACAAAGCAAAACCCTGCAAAAGTGCTTTGAAAACACAGGAGTGAAACTAGGGGGGGATGTAATTGTCTAAAGCACCCATAAAAAACAGTGAGCAAGGAACAGTGAACATGCTTGTGCACATACACAAGGTCTAATCTAGAAAAGCTCATAAAAGGAAACTAGGAACAGAGCTGACAAGAGAATGGAGGGCACATTCTGAAGGGATGAGAAAATTCATAATTTTGGAGCTAACTTTCAATCTGCAGGCCATGGATTGGAAGAGGAAGCATTCAGTCTATACTAAATTCTTTGAGATGTGCTATAATTCTTCAACAGTTGAAGGCTATGCAGCATGGGGTAGACCTCAAAATAGACTGGTTAGGACTGCACTTGCTCAGTGGCTCTGGAACGCTGAATGGCTGTTGGAGCATGAAAAAAAGAATACCAGGAAGGGGTATGTGTTGGAAAGGAGTCGTTTGGAAGAGGAAAAAAATTCTAAATGGAAGTACATCACACTGCAACAAATTGTAGTGTTGCAATGCTTATAGAAGTATGCTTTTTATATTCCTGTATTCTTGGTTAAATCTCTCCCTTTCTCTCTCACACTGTTCTTAGCAAGTGACACATTATTGCATTCATCCACTGAAGAGGCTATTCAAGTTAGAGACTACTTACTGAATTATATCTAGATCATTACAGCAGTTTTCCACTCTTAACCAGCTATCCATATGTGAATTAATTTTAGGAATATTTCTGGACAGCTGGGTTTTCACCTCCAAGTCTTCTTAAAGAATGAGAGGACGTGTGCCTTACCATCCCAGGGTCATGGAAAACATCACCCCGTAGATTTTGCCCAGGACCACAGGAGCTGGCGTGACCATGACAAAAGCAGCTTCCACGAACAACCATTTCGTAAAGTGCATAGTAGTATTTTTCCAGAGGGTCATGTTGCTTTTGGCCAAGTAAAGTGTCACCAAGTGTGTGAAGCTTTGTGAAGTTTATTCTCAGATTTGTAAAAGTAATTAGCTCTATAATTAGGAATAATAAGTCAGTTAATAAGTTAATTTCATGTAATCATATGAAGCTACCCTATAAACCCAAGACAGACTGCTGGTCTCCACTTGCCTTGGATTATCTACCCCTACTGGGAATGGCTCTCCAGAGACTTCCTCAGCTCTTAAACCCAAGACCCTTGAAAAAAATCTGGATATGCTACAGACAAAATTTAGGACCTTCTGCAAGCACACTACTCTGCCACTGAGTTCTATCCTTGCTAAAGGCATGCGAAGAATCCAAATTATCCATACCTTGGATGTATGGGACATAGGGATTTTCTATTTCAAAGCTGGGATCCAGAGCTTTGAAAACAACCTGTAGAAATGGAAAGTAATATGTATAATTTTAAGCCCATGAAAGTAAAGCACTTATGCGAAAAATACAACACAGGCTCAACTGAAGACTGCACCATTAAGATTGCGAGAGCAACACCATGGTCCCAGGATGGGGGTCCCAGGGTCATCGGAATATTATTCTTAATACTACTGCTGCTACTACATTTATTTTCCACCTTTTTTTCCTGTGAGGAAGCCAAAACAGGTTACATAGTCCCTGACTCCATTTTACCCTCAAAACAACAACCCTGTAAGGTAGGTTGGGCTGAGAATGAGTGACTGACCCAAAGAGATCCAGTAAGCTTCATAGTCAACCAAGGACTAGAGGCCGAATCTCCCAGGCCCCTAATCCAATCCTCCACCCTCAGACTTACACTGTAGACCGGCCATCCCCAACCTGGTGGCTTTCAGAGGCATTCAAACCACAACTCCCAGAATTCCCATCAAACAGGGCCATTAACTGGGCATTCTGGGTGTTGCAGTCCAAACAGGTCTGGAAGGTGCAAGGTTGGGGAAGGCTGCTGTAAACTGTGCTCCAACCCTGGAGTGGGAAACCTGTGCACAGCTGCCTTCCCATGGCACCTCCAGCAGAAGTCTCCCCAGCAGCTGTCTGTCTGAGGTTGGGACTCAGCCTTCAGGGAGTTGGGGAGGGGAATGTCAGGGATATGCCAAGTGAGGGTGGGCAAGATGGGAAAGGCCAAAGAACTTGCAAATCCACAGACTCCACCCAGCACCAACCCAACATGGGGGAACAAACACACCAGTGCAGTAAATGGTCTGCGTACATTCCCAATGGGAGGGGTGTCATCCTCTTTGCACAGAAAACCCGTGGAGGTGTATGGAAAATACAAAACGAGAGAGGGCTCTGAATTCCCTTGCAGGGGAAAGCCTGGCAGGGCTTAGGATAAATTGGAATCTCTGATATTCTCACCTCATCTCACATGCTGGTCCTCTACCAGCTCCACTGGCTTCCAGTTGAAGTCCGGGCCCAATTCAAGGTGCTGGTTTTGACCTATGAAGCCCTAAATGGCTTGGGACCAGAATACCTGAAGGAATGTCTCCTTCCTTATATGCCCTCACGCCCCTTAAGATCTGTGGGAGAAGCCCTGCTCCAGGAACCCTCCCTAAGAGAGGTAAAAAGGTCATCAACTTGGAGTAGGGCCTTCTCTGCTGTGGCGCCCAGACTCTGGAATGTACTTCCCAGAGAGGTACGCCTGACGCCAAGTTTATACTCTTTTCGGCGCCAGGCCAAAACCTTAAAATCTAATAACTTTTAAGTTCAGTCGCTCTGTTTGTTTTGTAATTTATTGTTTTGTTCTGTTTTATTATTTATTGAAATTGTTGTTTTAATTGTTTTTAAATATTGTAAGCCATCCTGAGATATTGTATAATAGGACAGCATACAAAAGCTGTTAATAAATAAATACATACATACATACATACATACATACATACCTACATACTGGAGCACCGCAATTGTGATCTAAGGATTGCTCCCCAAAGCTGCAGTCCTATACCCCCTTGCCTGTGGGAAAGCAACACCGAACCCAATGGGACTAATGTCCAAGTTGATTGCATTGAAAGTGCACTCATTATTAAAATGACAGTTGTGAGATGAAATGTACTTGAATAACATGCATACCTCCCCTTCAGTTGAGGGTTCAATATCCGAATACCTGGAATCACAAATAAGATCTCCTACTGATCTGGCTGGACCTGAAGGAATGGCCGGAAAAGATGCAGCACAATCTTGTGCGAAATACTGGAATACTTTCCAGGTTTGGCCATAATCTGTGGAGCGCTCCACCAGCATTGCTGCAGGTCGAAATGTCTGTAATAGACACAACTTCAGATCACCCCCAGCTTAGAGCCTATTGTCACAACCAGTTGTCGGTCTCTGGAAGAAAAACCTGCCTCTTAGTTCCCAGATGTTTTCTACTTGTCCTGGTGTTACAGCTGTGGACAGGATGCAGCTTTTGGTATGCCACTATAAATGTTGTATTGCTTTGTAATAGCATGCAAAATATTAAATTCATTGACTAGCACTGGATGCCAATCACAAGCTTGGACATGGGTGGAACTCAACACGTGCAATGTTTTCTCCATGTTCACATTGTTGCACAATGATGCTTTTACTGACAAACCTTCCTAGAATAAAGGTCTAAGACTTGACGTCCAGTATCTAACTGCCTATCTCATTGACGTTTTCTACTCAAACCTATTCATCTGTATCTACTTTTGGTTTTGCAGAACTAACATCCAAGCTTTCCACAAGTCTTTCCTTTCCTGCCTTTTCAATATTTAGCTCCTAGGTGGGACAGAACAGCACAAATACACAAGAGAAAATGTGGTTTCATTTACATTCACAATTAAATGCCACATTTTCCCTGCTCTAAAAAGTGGCTGAAAGTGTTGTTTACAAATAGATAAACAACTGAAGGGTCATAATATAATCTAAAAAATATAGAAACAATCATGGCTTGAATGTCAAGTTCCTTTTGTAGAAAAGCCCATTGCATCTAACCCTTCTGTCTGCTGGTTTAACAAATGGGATTTTCCCATCAGATTTGTATCCTACCTCATCTTTCAAAAGTATTTAGGCCAGCATACATAAAGTCTATCATCATATTCTTATAACTACTTTTTGAGATAGAATAGGGTTGGAAATACTAATTGTCCCGAAATTACATGGATTTTATGGATGGGTGAAGATTTGAACCTAAGTCTACTATTCTATCCACGATATGAAGCAGCTAATATAAAGCCACATAGTTACGGAAGTTTTAGGATGCATTTCCAGATTCTTGATTCTGCAAAGGTGCTTTCAGCATGGTAACACATGCATTCTTGTTCAGCCTTTTAGGACTAACCCAGAAGCATGGGAAACTTCCCCGAAACTGAACAGAGCCTTTTCCCTGGGCAGTCCAGTTCTGATACTCACAAGTCAGCCACACAGCTGATACAACCATTTCTGTTTTTGCATTATAGCTTGATCAATGGAGGCTAAAGTTATCATGCTACTGGTCCACATGGGATGTATACTCTAGGCCAGTTCACATGTAATGAGAAGTGACCATGGGTGGACTTTCTAGTTTTGGCACTGGTCACCACTTTGAAAATTCAAGATGTGGTGGAGGTGTGCTACAGCTTGTTGTTACATGTGAACCCAGTGAAGGTAGGTTAACAAGCCACTCGCAACCCTGAAAGAGGCCACAAGTACTGGGTGGCTTGTTGACCACCCACCACAACAGATCCTTGCCAGGTTTGCATGTAATGACAAGCTGTAGTGTGACCCTGTTCCAATGCATTTATTAAGAAGTTGTGCTACTGTTCATTTTTCAACACTAAACACCAACAGTACGAAAGCATGTTGAAACAGATCCATGTAGTAACACTCACATTTATTCATGAAATGCATAATATTTTGGTAAATCTTAGCTGCTTCCTGTCTGTCTAAAATCTAAATTGCTAACTGTAAATTGCTGAACAAACAATTTGAGAAACATAAAAGCCAAGATTAAATTAAAACTGTTATACTGCAAAGCAACTTAAACAGCACATCATTATGTAAATATATGCAGAGTACCTTAAAAGTTAAGATAAGATGGCTGAACTGAAACACATTTTCCAAGTCCAGCCTTATGCTCACGTGGTCAACACCTAGAAAAGCCAATGAACAAGTTTTGCAATTAATTGCTTCTGTCTGATGAGTAAAATGTACAGCAAACTGCATGTGCAGAACTAGATACTTCAAGAGATTTTTCCCACCTTCTAGATGGAAAATTCTAGGGACTTAATTTCATGTGGGACAGCAAACACCTTCACACCACTCTGTGTAGGATTAGAACCAGTGTAACAGAGTGCCCTCTGCTCCATCTGCTGAGCTTAAAACCTGTACATTTCCCTTGCAACAACAGAAGGCAACAGAAAGGCATAGAGCAAGGAAGTCTTGCTTTATGGATGGCAGTACAAGCTGACATTTGAACAGAGGGCACAATCAAATAAAAACCGGGGTGAAGAATTAATGTCAATGGAAAAACTCCTCACCATTTTCAGACTGCCACCATTTCTTCCGATCTGTCTCAAAACTTGTGATAACATTTTCAATCAAGTGACTGTCGGCCTGGAAAACTGGATGATACGGATCTCGGGAATCACAGGTGAAACACTTCTGCTCATCCTAGGGGGAAAAACAACAGAATATGCAAGACAAATATGATGCCCCGATCTTTTCTGTGATCATATGAGAGTTTCAGGACAGTGCTTCTCTTTTTTGTAGAGGTGCGTGTTTCAGTTTGCATCTTTTTGTTGAAAACCCTGAATTTTACACACCAAAGGATCTGAATTCAGTGAAGTGGCCTTCCTCTAAAGAGCATGTGGACTTCTTCCCCCTATTTTATCCTCCCCACAACCTTGTGGAGTATGTTAGGCACGTGGAGACTGCACGAGTAGGTGTAATTCATCCAAAGTAAGCCAGGAGACTTTTCTATCTATCTAGGGGACTTAACTGTCACACATTAAGAATATATTGTATTATATTTATTTCAGACTGGTTTATTCCTATAAACTGTACCTATAAATAAATTTATATTTGTGTGTGATATGAATAACATGGTAATGTTGTTCATGCAAACCAAAACTGAAATACTTCTAAACTATATTCTGAGGCTATATTGATTTCATAGAATCAAAGAATCACAGAGTATTTATTTATCATATGGCACATTCACATCACACTTCAATAAAAAATACAGACATAAAAACATGACATACAAAATATAAGATCCAAAACATCATAAACGTTCATGTTCATAACATTTCTTAAATCATACATGTTCCCTGAGAAGCCTTGAAAGTATGGCAGCCAGTTAATTCTACTGATCTCCTTGTTATATATCACATTCATGAAATCATAGAGCATTAGAGTTGGAAGGGGCCATGAAGACCATCGGGTCCAACATCCTGCTGTTGCAGGACACCAATTTCCACCATCCCACTCTAATGCTAATGCAGTTTCTTTTTTTAATGTCTCTAGTGTGAGAAAGTCCATGACCTCTCTAGGAAGCTGGTTCCACTGTCAGATTGCTCTGACAGTGAGGAAACTTTTCCTGATACCTACTATGAATCTGGGTTGTAGACACTAGGAGCGGAATCCTATTTCAGTGTAATAGGATGCAATCATTAGTACATCCAGGTCAACATAAAGCTGTAATCTCATGCACACATGCTTGGAAGTGAGTTCCACTTTTGGCATTTACTTTTGAGTAAATATGCATCTGGTAAGGCTACAAATCGGAACTACCCCAGTCAAGATCTCCCTTTGACAGCCAGTTCTAACTTCTTTACAAAAAAGCAACTCCTTTGCAGCATTTGAATATAGTTTGCTTAAAAGATTAAATGACACAATCCTGTGCATGTTTAGACTCCCACCATGCCCCAGCCAGCATTAAATTCTTCATTGTTCAAGCTAGAGAACTATGGAAAAGTCTTAAGGACAGCCTGTTCTTCTTGCTCTCTCCCTTTTTCTGAAAGAGTGAAAAGTTTAAAGTGGTGACAAATGATTGAGTGTAGAGCTAGGGAGCAGCTTGCCTGAAGGTCAGGCAGGATTTAGAGCAAAAATTCCTTTATGACAAATTAAAAGCATTTTGTGAATGATGAGTGGAATGCAGTGCTATTTAAATATATGGATTATTTAGAGATGAAGGAGTGAAAGCCTGTTTAACAAGTGTATTAAATGCTTCTTAGATAATTGTTTTGATCTTGCAAGCACCTAATAGTAATTCCAGATTCATGAGTGTGCTTCTGATTTGATCTTTGCTATGTTTGTTCTGGCTGAATATTCCCTGGCACCTAAGTAAAAGGAAAATCCTTTGATCAAATTGGCTTCTCTGCAGAGACTATAGATACTGGTGCATATAATCCATGGGTTGCATATAATCAGTGCACTCAACCTATCTAAGAGATATATGGGCTTTTGGACTTGGTTTCAACTGAAGTAAAGAAGCTTCATACAAGTGGGATTCATATACCCAATAAACAATACCACATTGTTTCTATGGCATGCAATTTTTTGGACAAGCTTACTGGTCAAAAAACTTTCTGATCACTTGATTAGCTGGGCAGGGTAGTTTCCATACTCCCTGCTCCATCCTCCTGGCCTCACGATGCATCCCAACAGTCTCATGAGTGAAATCTCCACTCTTCCCTATTCTTGTCAAGGAACTACAGTAGTCTCCACCTGATTGGTTCTCTGTGGTGCTGGGGCAGGTTCGCCCTTTCCTCCAAGTGCACCTGCATGACTGTGGCACTTCACAGTCACTCCAGCCCTCACAGAAATTTTTATTAAATGGACATAAATAGTTTTTCCATGATTCCCCCTTCTCTTTCCATATATTTTTGTGCTGACTCTGTTTCAAAAAATAAACAGGAAGATGGACATATCACTTGACCAATGGGAATCAAGTAAGCAATGATGTGTCTGTTACTAGGAAGCTGAGCTCAATAGGGATTGAAGGCTAGAAGTGGCCATTCACCCAGCCACTCATGCTAGGGAATTCTATGGTGCTTCCATACCAACAGTGGTAAAAGTCTAGAGAAGTCATGGTGAAGTGTAAAGTAACCGTTGAGTCTGTCCTTGTTTTGGAAAACTAATCTGACCATGCAAGAACTCTGAAGTTGGGTCCAGATGATACAACATATGTAAGCATAAAAATATATGGAGAGAGAAGGGGGAAGTTCACACTCATCCAGTGCAGAAAAAGAAGTGGGACAGAGGCAATCCTCACCTCCCTGCTCCTTCTGCTCAGCATTTTTATGCTTTTTGGTCATCCAGGAACAGCATTTCAAAGGGGGACGGAAGGAAGCTGGAGCAGCTTCAGGACACTTTTTTTCCCTGTAGGCCCACTGGGTGTTGTTTTTCTCTCTCTAAACTTGCATAATCCAACTTACTGTCTTGGATTGGTTTTTCCCTGTTAATGATGGATTTTGATTCACATTAAGTCCTTCCACAACTGGAAGTGCTCCTTTCATTTATGGAAGGGACTTTGTTCTAGCAGAAACTCATGTTGCAGCAATGAGTGGGGGAGGTGATGTGGGGTAATTTCCCCTTCTTCTCATGCCCCCCTTTGCATCCTGTGAAAAGCTGCCCTAGAGGCTCAGGGGACCTCTGGAGCAGCATTGGGAGAGGAAGGCGGACTATCCTCCCACATGCACGCACTTCTAACAAAGTCCAATGAAGGATGTTCTGGTTCTCATTCACTGTGTAAAATAATAGTACTTCAGGGCTGCTCTGAACCTACTGCCAATCAATTTCATTGTGTGACCCTAAGATCTACAAGTTTGAGGGTGAGAAAAATAATGCAGAATTGGGTTGGCACAATTAATGGATCATTGGAAGGCTCAGGATATCAAAAAGGCCATGCATTACTCTTTTATAAATAATTTATCTATCTCTGCACCCCTTACTTTTAGAGTATTAAAGTACTAATACCTTGCCTGGACAGAGATACTTCTTGTGGGCCACTATGTTTCCTGGACATTACACTTGGTGTTTGGGAAACAAAATTAAGTACCACTTTGCAGCAATGACTCTGAGCGTGTGCATCCCAGAGGAATCACATATCAGTTTTCAGTGCTATTTTTATACCTGTAAGCAATGCCAAATGAGCATCTGTGAAGGGTGGAACCTCCATGTGTGTAGAGACATGCATAACCTGGCGCTGCCCACTTCTCGGCTGGGCAATGTGTTAAAAGACTTTCTGTGGCATTGACAAGCATGTGCTTGCCTGCTTAGCAAAGTTTGCTAGGCTTCCTTTGTCCTTGAGAAACTTACAAATGCTCTCAAAACGGATTTCCCCACTTGCTTCTTTCAACCCGTGCTAAATGAACAACAGAACCGAGAGCTTTAGTGGAATCATTATACATTTCTAACATCCCGGTTCAGGGGCTTGATTACAACTGCAATTTTGGTACTGCATGTGGATTATTCCTTTCTATTGGAGTGAAGTGGAGATACAAGCCATTTTTACCTGCATTGAGATGCCTTGCACATGACATTCCCCAAATTTAACCTCTCACTGTTTGTGCCTTTATATCCCAGATTTCTTCAAACCAGTTTTATATGCTGCTTCCATACATGGTATTTTTTTTTCCAAGGCACATATTCCAGAATGTGCTAAACTTGCAATAGTGCTTGGTTGGGGGAGAGGAGTGATTTCAGTGGGCTGGAAGGGAGTGGACTACAAGAAGTGGTTTCCTATCAGGCTTTCATCATTTATGTTCTGGTATTTGCTAATGTGGAGCTGTGGATCTGAATAGCACAAACCTCTCACATTGTTTCAAGTGCTGGGTAAGAAAAGCTGCTCCTGGCTGAGCTCTGCAAACTCAGTCTCAAGGGAAGCTCAGTCGGCTTTCTGTTACTTTCCTGACTCCCTTTGTCATTCCGTACCCCCATCCTTTCTCCTGCTCTCTGGCTTGCCCAGAGAACTCAGTAAATTCAGTGCTGCTTTCCTGTTCCCCTCCTCTAACTTTTGAAAAAATACAGTGTGGATTGTCTTCGAATATTGCCTTTGTCCTCTTGTCTTAAGGAACTGGCTGAAAACCCATCAATATGCTGTCTATTTAGAAGTAAAATCACATTTCTTCAATGGTGCTTTCACATTGGATGCATTCACACAATATGAGAAACAACCCTGAAGTTACCGTGGTTCGCAAGTTTGTTTGTTTGTTTACCATTATCTACCTGATTTTCACATTATTGTAGTTCCCATCCTTAATACTCAGTCCTCCCAGTACTCACATGTATCCCATCACCCACTGTGCCTGAAATTTACTCCCAATGTGCATTGCTGCCTGCATATGTTGCCTTTCTCTTTCTCATTGATCCACACACAGAGACTGATTCCTGCAGTTTCTGCTCTTTCCAGGGACTCTGCGATAGTTGCTTACCAGACCATGGAAACCATGATCCTGGGTTCAGAGAACTCAACAGGCCATGGTGGTATGGAGAAACCACAGAACAAACAATTGTTTTGTACTGTAGTTTCTGAAGACATAAGTTGCCATGGTGAAATACCACAACTGGGTTCAGATATCATGGCAGACTGACAATGGTAAAATCCACCAGAGCTTGTTGCATTATCTGATAAACCAGCCATTGTCCTTAGTGGCATTTACTCTTAGAAAAGTCAGCCTGGGGTGGGACTTCCCTTGGTTTCTGGAACTGGAAGGGGATAGAGGTAAAGATCCTGCTAGCTTCTCCCCATGGGAGTCGGGAGGACAGCAGTAAGCAGCACCTCACCCACCTTCCTGGCAGGTGGAGTTACAAATGAAAACAAACTCACCTCCAGGTAGCCAATAATGCAGTATTTCTGAGGGCCAAACAACCCACATGTTGATGAAGCAGTTAGCTGTGCACTGCGACCCACCAGCAGGTCTCCAAGAGCTGGATGACATGATCCACCATTACAGTGATTCTGGCCACACAGGAAGTCCGTCAATAGTACTGTCCACAAAGGAAACAGAAGAAATGTAGTTTGGCGTGTGAGGTGGTATTTAACATGTTCGTGGCTGGGGAACCCAGAAGATGGTTGCGAGTGATATACCATTTGCAATGGTTCTGCTCTTAGCCATCAAAGGACTTGTGTGCAGTTTGTGATAAACTACCCTCCAAGCAGTACATTTTAGGAATTAGAAATTTACACAGCTAATGAAAATTGCTCCACATGGCTTAGAAATAGCTTTCCCCAACCTGGTGCAAAACAGAGATCCCTTCCATGCCAAATTATGATGACTTGGAACATCATCATATGATGAATTGGACTCCAACATATCTGGTATACACCAAGTTGGGGAAGACAGACTTAGAAATTCAATGAAAACAATAGGGAAGCAACAACTTCTTAATGCTTTTCAAATAATTGGTTCTCACTCCATGCTATTACTGGTGGAATAAAATAAAGCTATTCATATTGGGAGTTAATAATTGTAAAATAAAGAAATTGCAGATTATGGTACAAGTAAAAACTTTGGTCTATCTCCTGATGTCACCTAGTTTGTAGAAGGCTTGGTTTGGGGTGGGGGTTATCTGGGCATCCTGGTATAGATAGTTGCTCATAAGCTGCTGGTGAATGCCATGAAACAAATGTAGGTAATATACTCATTACCTAAATTCATTGTAACAAGGTAGGCAGCGGGTAGAGCTCCAGCTGTTTTGTACTTTAGCTCCTAGAAGCCTCTGCTAGCATGGTCTATGGTAAGACATGCTGGGAGCTTAAGCCCAAAATATCTGAAAATCTATCCTCTACTCCCTGCTGCATTCTAAAGTCACTAAGAAGGAGACATCCAAGAAATATGTAACCCTACTGTGGCTCTCTGGCTTCTGAAGTTTCTAGATAACTCCTGTTGTTCAATCACTGCTCACGTTCATACGTGCCCTCCTGCTCCTTGAGATCAGCGGGAGAGGCCCTCCTCCAGGAACCCTCCGTGAAGGATATTAGGAGGGTAAGTACCTGGAGGAGGGCTTCCTCTGCGGTGGCGCCCAATCCATGGAATGCGCTCCCCAGAGAGGTCCGCCTGGCGCTGTCGTTATGTTTTTCGGCTCCAGGCGAAGACCTTTTTATTTAAACGGCATTTTAATTGTTAGCTTATTTATAGATTTTATATCTTTGGCCAGGGCGTTTCCAATTATATTGTTTTTATATGATTATATGTATTTATTTATTGTTGTAAGCCGCCCCGAGGCGGCATAGAAGTTTACTAAATAAATAGTGGGGTGGCATAGAAGTTTACTAAATAAATAAATAAATATCTGATTTGTAATATAAAGTATATGAAGTGAGTAATGCTAACATTAATGATAAAACTATGAATGATTCTGTTCTGCCATGATCTTTGATTTTAAACTAAGTTAATAGAAAACCTGGATCAAGAGTAAGATTTTTGTACTGGTGAAAAATAAGTTACTGTACCACAACTTGAAGAGACTACAAGCTCCACCATTCCTTAGATTTCACCTAGATCTAACTGAATCACATACATAATCTCATTTTCCACAAAGAAGATAGAAAAGTGTACGAAATTAAAATAACCGTCAGCAAAACTTTTGCCTGAAATGACTTTAAGCATTTTTCTTCCAGTGAGATAAATTTCCTTTCAGGCTGTTTGTCTGCTGAAACATGTTCTCACCTGAAACACCAAACAGGTATGGGACCCTTGGAGGCTTCACCTGCTTAACACTGCTTGGCTCAACTTGTTATGACAGAGTGTGTGAGTTATTTAGAAACTTGTAGTAGTTACAAGGAAATCTAGAGATTTATACATACATATTTCTCTAAACTAATGTAAATTATATACATTATTATATACATTATAGTTTATGTGTGCATGCACACATTACATCTCTATGTATAGTTTTAGAATCAACCATTCCATCTCTGTGACAAGCACTGAAGCTGCGATTTTCTGTTCCCTGTTCTGTTCAGTCACCAAGTGTGAATGGCCTTTCCTGCATTCCACTTTTCTAAGACCATGCAATCACCTGGCTCAAAACAGCTGAATGCATTTTCAGGATGGTTGGGCTCCTGACCAGTAGTGGTATGTGGTTGTGTGGAGGATTACGCTTCCCCTCACCCCCATAGTACTGCAAATAGTCTTAGGGGAGATGCCACAGAATTGAAACAGTGAGAGCAAGCCCCGATATACTTCAAAAGCCAGCCCCAAAGGGTCTGTGACCCTCACGCCATGGTGGTGTTGTGCCAGGAGTTTGGGGCAGACATCCACAGCAATGTTAGCTCTTGTAGATCTAGACAAAAACCAGGCAGCTCTCTGTGAGTCGTGCCTCAGTGCCTGAAGTCAAGGAAATAGAGAGGCCAGCTCTGTTCTGTGGGATAAGTGAGTGGACTGCAATCTGGGATGAAGTCAAGAGAAGCAAGTAACTGGCCCTCCTTCCAGGTCCTGGGGTCACCCTGGGATGTCTGCCCAGCAGCAGCCAAGGTGCACAGCTTTATCAGGAATCTATCTCCTGAGCATAAATGGTCGCTCATAAGTTAAGTCACCTTTCCTTTATAGCACTTTTCTGGAGCTTTTCACAGAAAGGTCAGGGTATAAATATGAATTACTAAAACAAAGAAAATAGAAGCTTGATTTGGTGGGAGGACATTTAACAGAAGCTAGGAACTGGAATAAACCAATCATGTTCCAGGAGGCTCAAGGGGCATGAATGTCAAGAAAGCAGACGTGGAGGGAAAGGGGGGCTAAATATCATATATTGTGTGGAAATAATTAGCCACATCTCTGAAGGCAGTTATTGGGGTTCAGAAAGGATTCCATAAGTCTGAAGAACTTTAGACTTTGTTTCTGGAGAAAGCAAAGACTCAATGAAAAGAAACTTCCTAATAACATCCAATGCAGTAGCAACCAATATTTTGGTAACAGTGTGCCATAAGCCCAAAATATTAATCATTGACAGGCTACTGTGCATTATGATAAAACACTTTGGTGCAAGTTTTGGGAATGGACAAAACCACATTGACTCTATCACATGGGCACTTCTCCTGCCTGTTCCATGAATATTCAGAAGGACATGTAAAAGAAAATGAATGGGACATGCAATAAATATTCCTGAACATATTTAGAGTCCTTGAACTTACTGAGTTTCAAAAGAATGACAAGTGGAAACCACATATTCATGTGCATCTTGTAGACCGAGACTAAAACCAGGCAACTGTCTGTGAGCTGTGCCTCATGTTATTATAAGCTTCACTAGCACATGTAAAAGAAAGAAGAAAGGAAAATTGTATTATGATTAAAACTTCTCAATAGCAAAATGGTTCGCTGTATTCCAGCCCTTTTTGTACTGACTTATGTGACTACAGAAAAAGGAGAAAAAGAGGAAATAAACATGAATACTTTAATTTCTTGTTGATGGATACTGTACCATTAACAAGAATTTCATTTCTGAAAAAACTATCCAAGGACAGCTCATAAGAGAACTGCAGATTTGTTCAATGCACAGTCAATTAAAAATAAAAGTTGCATAACAGAAACAAAAGAAATAAACCGACTGTTATTGGATGATCTCCAGATGAATCCAAATGAGTTCAGCTACATTGAGGTTATATGAATAGCAAATTCAGATGAGACATTTTCCTGAGAACTGTCACAAAAGAGGAAAGAGGTAAATACCTGCAGTGATCTCAATAATTATCCTCACCACCACTGCCACCAGGGCTGCCATTTTCCTAGGGCCTGCCCTACCACTATGTAATGAGACAACAGCCTCAGGAACCCTGTGCCCCCAAAGCTAGCCTTCTGCCCTCAAGTGCAGTACCAGATGATGGAGTTTTATCCAGCTGATTGCATTCCTGGAACGAGGCTGGGCAGGTGCCCTCTTGTTTTTTGCTCCAGGCAGCAAAAGTCTTGGCTGGTCTTATATAACATTCTATCTAGTTAGGTTCATAGCTGTTCTTTTCACCATTTCTGCTTTTCCTACCTTGGAGGTCTATATTGTAGAAGTGCAGATAGATTTCTGAGTTAGGGAATGAACTGCTCGGCACACATAACTGTGGGCACTGGTGGTCTCCTCCTGCTGCTAGATGTTGCTGCCACTGCCACTGACATGATTCTTCATAATGGCACCAAATGCACATGAAGTCATTTCACACGATTGTGTCAAATTGCTTGGTTCACTACCTGCAAATGTGTCCCTAAACTCAAAGAAAAGAACAGGCCAGCTTTTTTACCTACACCTCTCTATATATTGCCTTTGCTAAGCTAGGTAGTAAAATAAAAAACCTTAACACATGTCAATAGATAATTTTCCCAATCTAGGCATGAAAGCATACAAGAATAGACACAAATGTCAACTGAGGGAGAAAAATTTTTGTACTCTAGCGAATAGATGAGGGTTTTCATTAACCTTGTTCAGATGTAACAGTAGAATCCAGCTCAATTCATAGGATCATTAACAAATCATAGATTATCTCCTCTTTAACCCACAAACAACCCTGAGTGCTCAAGTTTGGACATAGTGGAAACAACCTATAAGTGCCACATTCATAGGCTGCTGCAAGAAACTGGAAGTTGTGCGCATCTCCACAATTAATGGGTAAATCAATGCAGACATTACCACCAGATGCTGCTATTACATCCAATCAGGCCCTCTGTCTATTAAATTGAATAGAAAAGCTGTTCTGGGGAAACTACATGCACTAGAGTTCTCATGCGTGGAACTGATAGATGGTCCAGGGTGAATGTATATTACAACAATGCAGTAGAAAGACAATGTAACTAATCATATGGTCCAATTCTTTTGGATGAAATAGACAAAAGTACAAAGTGAATGTTGTCAAATTCACATGAGACAGGTATTTTATAACTGAACATCATTTACTCTTACTTAAATTATATAACTAGCAGATGTCCTCAGGGTGGTTTACAATAAATACAAGAATGAACATATCAAAATACATAAGCAATTAATGTATATTTTCAGAGAAGGATATTTGCTGATACACACATTCACATACATAAGCATATATTATAAATAAAATTAAAATGTTGTTCTGATTCCTCATATTACTGTGGACTTTTCTGTATTTTAAGGTGCAATGCTCTGGCTTCGCTTAGAAGGACAAAAGGCTCTTCAAGGGCGCAGCACCGAGGTTCTCTGCCTTTAGCCTCAGACTCTGACAGCTGCCATGCCCTACAGCTGGTGTGGAAAGAACTGTGCCAGCTGCCTCTCTAGGGCAGAAATGCACCTGTGGGAAGGGGAAAGGGGCATGCTAGGGGGGACAGGGAGGAGAACAGGGCTGTCTCTGTATGCTCCCCCCCCCATTGGCACCCTATCATCCTTCCTTCTGCCTACCTGGCACTATCTAGGAAGCAACAAATGACTGTCCAGACACATGGCAGCAGAGGTCACTGCAGCCATGGGATGCACCAAAGCCTCTGAGCTCAGAGGCTTACATGCATCCAGGATGGGGGACACAGGAACGCACCCTTAACATTTAAAATATTAAAATGAAAATTAAGGAGTCCACTGTGAACTTAAAATCAGACCAACTGATTGAGGATTAAATGCCTACTCAAAGTCAATGGTCTTAACCTACAATCTAAATATATGCAACGTGGATACCAGGCAGATCTCCTTTAACAGATTATTCCTCAAATGGAACCACTACAGAGAAAGTTCTTTCACTGGTGGTCACCTTTTGCAGAATTGCTGGTGGTAGAACCTGGCAAAAACCCTGCATAGATGATCTTGGCAAGATATAGAAGGCACTCCTTTAGGTGGACTGATCCTAAGACATTCAGAGAATTAGAAAGGTCAACACCAGTGCTTTGAACTGGGGCTGGAAATGGATTGGCCACCAGTGCAGTTGACCTAGGACTGAAGAAATAGCTTCAAAATTGCCAGACTCAGCATGTGGCTGATCCGTTCTGCCATCTGTTTCCAGACTGTCCCCAGAGGTAGCCCCACATATAATGCTTTGGAAAGATCCAGGTGGGGAGTTACTGGGCTCTGCTCTCCAGCTAGGGTTGCACCTGAGCATCCAAAGCTGGGAAAGGGCATTTTGTGTCCCTGAGGCCACTTGGCCCTCAGGTGACAGAGCAGGCCCTGTGAGCACCTGCAGGCAACAACCTTGCTTCTTCAGGGGGAATTCAGCCCCATTTAAAGCAGGTTGAACTCCACTTAACCAGTTAGTTATATGCCATGCCTAGTTCAGGGAATTCCTGGTGCATTACTGAACATATTAATATAACTCATAAGGAAGCAAAAGAATATTCAAACTAACATATTATAGTTTATACATGGATAAATTGGGATCACAATAATGAGGAAGTGTATCATTTTGCCCAATGTAATTCAGAAATTAATTCCAAAGGACTCTCACTCCTCAGGGAAGACCTTTGCTCAAATACATTTTGTCAGGATGGGCAGTAAGGACACAATTTCCCCTTCCTATTTTCTCGCTTTTGGGCAATATAAGGTATGTGCGTCACCATTTCAAAGTTTCTAGGCATAGCTAACAAACTTCCATTGAAATCAATGTATCATTCTGTACAAGATGAGAAGTCTTAAAGTACTGTAGTAGCAAGGTTCTTACAGCACAGTTTCGAAAGAAAATTTGCAGTGGCTCATGCAATGGGTAATATCAAAATACCCTAAACAAACAGGAATTTAAAATGAAGGCTTTTCTGCAAAGTGCCAGATGGTTCTGGATGACAGAACACCAAGTATCAGACCTTCACAGAGCAGTGTAGCAACTTTAGAAAGCTACCTATGTCAGCTGTAACAGTAACTTATTGTTATCTTAGGCTCTTAAACTGGCATTTGACATTTAGATTCCTATATGCTCACAGTTCACAGAAGCTAACAGACCTTAAGGTGTTCTCAAGTCATACTGCCATAATGCAGAAATCAGCAGACATCCCAAATTAACACTATGTAGGAAAAACAGTGAAGCCTACAAAATGTCCTACCTGGTCTTGAATTATAAGTCTTTGAAGAAACAGATGCAGCAAAAGGAAGGCACGGAACTAAAAATGTAGCTGTGTGTCAGATGGAAGAAGCAAAAGTTTTTCCCCTCAGGCACCTGGGTGTAGAAGAAAATGAAAGCTAGTTTCAAACCTGCCGGAGATGACTTGTTAAGCCATCATGTCTTGTTTTTTTTTTTTTTTTTGCAAGAGCAGGCACAAGTTGGAGGCAGCATTAGGTGTCTCTATAGTTCTAGTATATGGTTGCACTCTAACCCAGGAGTGAGGCTCAGGTTTACACCTAGAATGGGGCTCAGGTATTAGTGCCACAGGCGATTTACAAGATGTAAGATATGTAGGGTATTTTGAGAATAGCAAATTCTTTAATTATGATGCACACATGTTTCTACCCTCACACTGGACAGGGGGAGCCTAACCCTAGAATGGTGCTTAACCACAGCTGTTGACTATAGTTTATGCACAAGTGCCATACCCAATTTCCAAAATGTCATCTTTCTAAAGATTTTTCTGCATACTTCATCCTTTCAGCCCAGTGTGCACACATTTCTGGTATCAGTATCACTAGGGGGCCCTGGTTTTCTGAACCCTAACCCTAGCCTGCTGCTTAACCCTAGCTCTAGAATAGGGTTCAAGTTGCATTCCCATAGGTGAACTTCAAAATGTCCGCTTTCACACAGTTCATCTTTTCAGCCATGTGTGCAAATATTTCTGGCATCAGGATGGGGGGGTGGGAGGATGGTTTTCTTAACCCTAACCCTAGCCTTGGTCTTAGCCCTAGCTCTAGAATAGGGTTTTATTTAAGACATTTGATTGGGTTGCTCCAGTGCCATAGGTGATTTTCAAAATGTCCAATTTCTTGGGTTTTTTGTGCACAGCTCAACTTTTCAGCCCTGTACGTACACATTTCTGGCATCAGGATGGGCAGCAGGAGGCTGGTTTTCTGAACCCTAACCCTACCCTGGTGCTTAAGATGACTATAAGACGATATGAGTTGCCTGTTCTGCCATGCTTGCAGTTGTGCAGGGACAGTACTGCAGGAAATTAGTCAGGGTCAGTATCAAAGGCAAGGTCAGCTGACCAGCACTCCAAAGCCAGGGAGTTCAAGAGAAGACCTAGGTTGTCAGGAAATACAATCCTTGAGTGTGGGAGCTGGCACACACATTGTTCTCCCAATTAGTAACTATCAGTGATATTTGCAAGCCTGATCCTTCAAAACTCCCCCTGGAACACAACGCAGGCATCAGTGCCACATGAAAAATGACCTACTCGTGAGCAAACCCTTGCTCACAGATATACCTTCATTTCACAAGGAGTCCATATTCCTTTGGTATAAGGGGATGTCATACATTTTCCATCTGGCAGCCAGCAGGGCCCCAATTTTGGGGTACCTGCATTTGCTAAGTGACTACTCTGCCAGACTGTGTCAGGTCTTTCTGTGGTCCGCGCAACACCATCTTGCCCTAGTCTTTCTCTCCCACTTCCATTCTGTTTCTCTCCTTGTGCAATCTAGAAAGCAGTGGGGGCTCTCTGAGTCATTGAAGAACTTGTACGGGCTCTGTGGGAAGAGGCTTTCTTCTCCATAGTTGTCCTCTGCACCGAGACAGTGATGAATGCAACGTCAGAAGGGGGCTAGGCTTGCATGCTCCTCTTCCTGTTCATTGAATCCAGTATCAGAATATTTGACTAGGAGCACCAAATCTACCATTCACATCATTGTTTAGCTTGCAAGGGTGGCTT